TCCAGATGATGGATTAAAGTTTGATGGAGTCGTCTGCTCGCGTATAGAAAATAGCAAACGCCAACAGGACCAAATAATGACAGCCACCATCGACTTTTTGAAATACAGTCGAGGTCAAAACTCTTCGCTAGCGTACACACAACCTTGTCGACACTGGCTCCTCCTCCACTTCCTCGCCTTCAGATCCTCGATCTACTAACTACGTGTTTCCACTCCTTTCCCGATGACTCAACACCAATGTGACAAGATCCGCATCACCACCGCCCCCAACTCACATCATCGTCGGCGATGAGCGGGGCCTCCGGGGGCCTACGGACCCGAAACAAACGTCGCGAACACGAAAAGACCGGGAGACATCTCCGGTTTGATGATATGCAGGGCGGAAGAAAAGGCAGACACCGGCGGATGAGTGACAGCCAAGCGAAACACACATTCACACAAGAAGGGGGAAAAAAAGCAAACATGACACCGCCAGGCCGGTCAGGCCTTATGTACAGGCTTCAGGTGTGTACACATACATATGACGTCCCGAAACTCCGGTCCTTGGATATGCCTTATTATAGATATAACTAGCTATCCTCGTTAGGGTTCAGACGGCAGGTAGCACAGTATGTATCTACTTAGTGGCTTAGCGTCAAGGGCGTGAGAGGTTCGTCTACTAACCAATGTGAATTGCATATTAGCAAGTCACAAAACCGGGAAGCGACGAACTGTGAAGTGAACTGAAGCAAGCCGACAGATAAGCAAGCTTGAGTTTTTAAGCGCACACAAACTGCCGATCAACGGTTTTGCCTTATAAGCCGAGGGATCTGGCATTTGGCATTTGGCCTTTGGCGTGATAGAGGCATGGTTGGTGGTGGTGTAAGGGGCTTGTGATCTGTCCGATACCTACCCTATAACTCTCCGATGCTGAAGAGGAAAAGTGGAAGACAAGAATCTCAAGGAGTTGCTTACCATGAAGAGGCCTGATATCCTCTTGACATCACACGATAGAAGTGGACTCCAAAACCAACAACGGAATATCGGCAAAAAGGCTTTTAAGGACAACAAAAACAAACTTCTCAGAGCCCACCATACCATACCGCACCGGGCTATGTTTCGCTAACGGTGGATGAACAGTTTGCCGCTTTCCATACCCAGTAGGTCAGTGACAATGCTAAGAATAAGATCAACACGTCACCGTCACCGTCACCGTCACCGTATGGTCCGGAAGGAAAACGCAGTAAAGGAGAGAGGGGAGAGAAAGGTATGCAAAGAAGGGCACGGGAATCACACCGACAGACGGGCATCATCATCATCGGAGAGGCGGACTCCTTGAATATTTTTTTTGGTGACTTGAACGTTGTCCGGGGTGCGCGAGGATCGCAAGGGCTCGAAATCGCCTCTCTGACTCTCTGACCAAACTTGTTGTTGTAGCGGATAAGGCTCCGCGGACATGGAGTGAGGATGTTTGCGAGGTTTTGCCCAAAACTGCTTGCCTGTTTGGTTTCATCAACATTTTTCTGGGGGTTTTGGGAAAACTTGTTGGCCCTCGTGACCATCAGGTATTTGCTTTGCGTGCCTGAACCGTAGTTTCTGGATACTCCCGGTAATGCACAATCTGCTCGTAAGTGGCTGAACAGAAGAGGTAAGTCCACGAACTCGAGCTGATCGTTTTGTGGTCGAGTGGCTGCCGACAACCACGGAAGAACCGAACGGGAATGATGATTAGCGACCGGTAGTTGAGAACGGAAGAGACTGATGAAGGGTTATCGCAAATCACATTCGACCGCCCACAAAACGCAGAAGTTGTGATCGGTCATTCGATAACCTCTCAATGTCGCAGATGATCCAGATTCGATGATGCTTCACTCGAGGACGGGGCGCGAATTGGTCAGACATTTGTTTGAGAAGTGTTGACGAGAGAAAAGCTCTGGCCAAGAAACTGCCCTATGAGGTTTCTCAACTACCTTAAAACCACAGGGTGGAGCAGAAGACAGGTGGAGCACAGACCCCACTGGCGCGCTAAGAAGTGAGCGGAGACATTTTCACAAGAAGTTCTTGGCATACCCGCTGCGGCTGATGGCGGCGCTAGTGTTTCCGATTTGGCCTGAGGTTGCAATGAGCTGATGGATTGGGGAAAGTCCAAGGGGTGGGGCAATCTTTTGGCGGGGGGTTTCTGCGTCAGTGCACGCGTCGAGGTGGTGTTCGATCGACTCTTTCCAGTTCTTTGTCCAATTCAGTTCCTGTTCCTCATCATTTTCAACGAGTGGTTTCTGTGGACGGTTGGCTAACGATGTCGTCGAAGTGATCAAAGTTCGAACTCAACCCCTCTCCCGAGCAACCGTTGGGTTGTGGCTTGACACCCCCTCCTCCTCGGCTCCTCATCCACGAGCAAGCCTGACGCCATGCGAGACACGCGACAGGAGACCACTTAGCTCTGCCTCTGCCGACTTCCGCATGTGGCCTCGTGTGGCCGCCGCCGTTTTCTTTTCGCCCGTAAACTCCCACGACCGCCACGCCGCATCTCAGCCATCAAATTGCTGACAGTCAGTCCTCGTGTTGGAGGCTTGCTCGCGTCACACAGAAAAAGGCGTGGATGGAAATCTTCAGCGCATGTGGGAATCTAGGGAAATGGAAGGCCAGGAGAAGAAAGAGTGGCTGGCGCCTTTTCATCTTCCTTGAGACGATCATGTCTTGGTTTCCTCTTGATATCCAGATCGCAAGCGCTTCTGGATGGACTCGGGAAGGATAAGCACAGCACGCCTTCACGGGAGTGGGCATCATCATATCATACTTTTTGTATGTATGTATGCATCAGAGCGATCATACTGGCTGGCAGATCGAATGGGTCAGATCCGATGACCATGGCACGAAACCAGGCTTATACCTATCAGTCTTTCCAGGCCTCTGTTTCACACTCAACTCCTTGGGAGTGTTTGATGAGGGGACTGGCGAGACTGGCAAGACTGGATCCAAGTCCGACCTATATCATGCAGGGTAATATATAAGGCTAGGTGGTATCGACTGACACATCCCGGTCAACGAGGGTGGTGTTTTGCCAGGGACCCGAAGGCATCCAGATAGCCAGATTCCCGTAGTCCCCTTCATTTCCTCATCCCCATTCCAGACTCTCTGGGCTTTGGGAACTTGTTGCGCTTTCAGCCTTCAGTCCTTCACCCGTCTGTCTAACCAAAGACTCTCTTTTAGTTCTCGCTCCGTTCAGCTCATCACTTCGTTGCCTTGCCTCTGGTAGTTGCAGTCTGGTTGCTGCGGTGTTGCAGAGAGCAGCTGTTCCAAGCAGAAAATCCGCTAGTTCGGACGTCTGGTGCTCGAGCCACATCTCCAACACCACCTCACTTTCAGTCACTCGCTTCTGCTTCTACTTCTGCTTCTTGCGTCGCCTTGCGTCGCAAGTCTTGTCCTTTGAGCCAATTGGCTTCTTCCACACTCTTTTTGGCCTTCTGCTGATACCGACATCTTCCTCTTTTGCTTTCCAACGCACGGTCTTGACGACCTGGCTGCCTGACAGTCCGCTGCCCCTCTGCGTTCAACGGACATTAAGAACAGCCTGTGTCTTCTGTCTTGTGTGTCCTGATGCTCATTCCAAGAATCCGGATTCTTAGGGAGGAAACTTGGTGCACTTGATGTGCCTACTAAAATCCGAGGTATCATCACCAACTGTCCCGGAGGACTCACCTTTCCCTTTTTCGGCTCTCCTTTCCCTCGCCATCCTCATCACGCCGTCCTAGCTACCTGCAAGGCTGTGCCCGATCGACGACTTCAGACGTCACCCCTTTTCCACCACCAAGGAACGGCATCCTTACCGAGTCCCTGCGTGGCCCCGTCCGTCCCACAAAGCTGAAACACCATCGGTCTTCTGGGGACACACAGCATCGGGTCGTACTCTACCATCATCAACTCACCTCAGGTCCAAGGTGTCCACTTATTTCACTTCCCTTCTCTTCCGAGCCGGCTCGTTGCCGGTCGTTTGGCTCCCGTTGTTGCAGACTCTCGGCCGTACGCGAATCCCAGCAGTTCATCATCAACATCCACCCGTTCATCCCCTTCGTCGGCTCGACTAGAAGCTTTGCTTTGCCACACGCCTGCACCGACCGGGAGAGCAATACCATCCTGGCAATTTTCGGGTGATCTTGGCAGGCACAGAACCTTCTTCTTCGACTCTATTATTATTCATTTTTCTCCATCGGGGAGCATTGGCCAGTCCACGACTTTGAAAGCTCTCGAGGTATTGCCAAGACGCCCAAGCACGAACTGTAAGTGGTTTTCGAAATCTCTCCCATTTCGGCTCGGCTATTCAGAACCCCTTTCTTGGCTTTGAGCTGTGTAGCAGCTTTCTGGTGAAGAGGTTGGGTCTTCCTGGCAGAAGACAACGAATCATCTCGAGAGCTGTTGCTCCCACAACCCAGACATATTGGCCTTGTCTCTGATTGTCCCAGTCTTTTGGTGTACAGACATTGACTGACTCTTCTCAATATTCAGACCCTCTACACATTTGGCCTCGCTCGGCCGGCATTTACCCTCCTCAAACTAACTTCAAATCTCCAGCCCATTAATCGCGCCGTTTGTCAGGCTCAGCCCACGCGTCACAGAACAATTCTTTGGTCTTCTGCCCAGCAATTTCAGAAACCAAGCCCTCGTTCGTTTGTTGCGGATACTTACACCCAGAAATCGGTTCCACAACCTTGCCTTTAGAGTTGTGCTTCGACCCGTTTGCAACACCCCAACTATATCAGAGTCAGGGTGCTGGTATTGTGTGACCTTTCGGGGGGCCAGGAGAATTTCGGTTACGAGGGACCGTCCTACATTCGCCATTCAGCCCTTTTTGATCACCATTCATCGGGAAATAGTGAGTCTCTGGTGTGTGATTGTTTTTGGCCTCATACACACCGCCGAGCGGGTAGTTTGGATCACCTGGGAAAGAGCTTGGAACTCCTCGATTGCATGTTTGATCAGTCGTGTGGGGCTTCACATAAATGAGTTCTCAAAATGGGAGAGACATGGACCGACAGCCACAGCTAGGATCTGTCAGGAGGGCGAGGGAGCAGGCTGGGTTAAGAGAAGGTCCTTCAATTCGGAGGGTGGAAGACAATGAGCCTCAGATAGCCCGGCCTATCAGGGCGCGAACAGCAGGAGCTGGGATGCAACAACAACAACAACAACAACAACAACAACAACAACCGCGGACTCAACGGCCACCACCGCCGCCAGGGCTTCAGACAAGGGAAGGCGGTATCGGAATAGCCATCTCAAGACCGATCCCGGTGGTTTCACAGTGGCCATTGGCATCACAAGCCGCAGTTCCTCTTACTGGGCAGGGGCAAGATCCATATCGACCTCCTGCTGGGAAATCGCAACCACCAGTGCGGCCACCGCGACCGAGCAGAGTGCCTTCCATTTTGGACAACTCCAGAGTGCAGGACCCCACGCCAGTCTCGGGCTTCCATTACAGATCACAGCAAGGTGGAATAGTAGCAGTGCCAGTTGACCAGCAACAGGAGCACTTGTTAACCGTCCCCGAGACGGCTCCTTCTCTTTCCCGGCCATCCACGCTTTCATCGTTGGGGACCATCCCCGACTTCCCGCTGCCCGGCCAAATGCCTGCACCACCTCCACGACGAAGCGTCACTCTCGGACCGCCGCCATCAGCCAGACGCGGAACGTCATCCTTCTACTCAAATGCCTCCTTCGTTTCGCCCATCCCCGAGGAAAGCCCAGGAACACGATCGAGATCCCACACGTCCTTTGCGTCCAGCGCGGCAATGCCCGACAGCTGGGGCACCGTTTCCCCGGGACTCAGCCCACAGTATCCGTCGACGGATCACGAGGAGCACGTCATGGGAATCCGCAACCACAACAACAATGAAAACGCACCTCCAGGGTACGAGGAGGATGCCGAAGACAGCCGACTGGTCAGGAACGCGAGCGTGGGGAAGAGGGCGAAGCCTACGTTGGTGACGGCGACGAGTCCACGTGTGGGAGGAGCGGGAGGATGGGCTGGCGAGAATCAAGGGACGGGTCCCGGTCCGACGACTCCTGGTACGCCCTTCCGAGACCCCTTTGCTACGGGGACGGGCTATATCGAGAACTCCAGCTCGTCGAGTACAAAGACTCCCCAGAACAAGACGCCTATCGGGTCAGCTATTACGACAGATGCGATTTTGGATGCGTATGATAATGCCAGCTCGTATGATCAAACTTCTTCGTCGAATGAGAGGATGCCCGGAGGACGGAATTACAGTCGGTTTTCGGCCATTAGGAGACCCCCTAATCTCGACATGGATGCTGTCCGCAAAGCTCAGGCCAGGGGAAGTTTGACGAGTCTTTCAGAGCTGATACGGCGGGCGACTCGGTTGGAACAGAGTCTGGAGAACGGCAAGAGGCCTGCGAGTAGGATCGAGGAGCAGCTGTATGATGATTTCGGACACGAGAAGGAGATGTCTGGTACAACCACCCCTCCTCGTCCGTCCCTAAGAGATCAATGCTAACCCCCGTAATAGTAGAAAACGAAAAACACCAATCCGGCTTCTCCGACATGCTCGCCGCCTTCCCACCTCCCGCTCAGCCCCGAATCCCACCCCGCCGCTTCCGCGACTCCCTCCGAGACCAAATCCAATCCTGGCCTCTAGCTCTCAACCGCTCACCCAACAACTCCCGCGGCGACGGCAGCGACCAACGGCCCAACGATCCCAGCAACAAGAAACCCGGACGTCGCATCTGCCGCCTGCCCGTCTGGGGTTTCATCCTCCTCGCCACGGCCATCGTCCTCCTCACCGTTGCCGCCGTCGTCATCCCCCTCGAATTCCTAGTCCTTCAAAAACACAAGGGAGACGGCGCCGGCTCCGCCCAGCAACAGCTGCAACAATGCGAGCAACAACTCACCTGCGAAAACGGCGGGACCAACATCGTCTCCCAAGGCTTCTGCTCCTGCATTTGCAGGAACGGATTCACAGGCTTCAACTGCAACGCCACTGCCACTTCGGGGTGCAGCGCCATGACCTGGCCCGGACTCGACGGGGACGCGGCCACGATTGGCGCAGCCATCCCGCGCTTGGTGCCAGATGCGTACAAAAACTTTTCGATCCCGTTGGATGGGTCGGAAATCGTGGCCAAGTTTAACCGGGAGGGACTCAGCTGTGGGGCTCAGAATGCTCTGGTCACTTTCGACGGCAGAGCGCTCAGACAAGGGGATGCAAGGAGTCAGGTGGTTAGTTTGGATACTACTAATGATACCAATGGAAGCGGAAATGGAGGCGCTGATGTGAATGCGGCTGTTATTGTGGATGGAGTGGAGATTACGACGCTTTCGGTACTGGCCGGGCAGTTGACGACGATCACGCTGGAGGCGCCGTTGCCGGCTACGTCGGTGCCGGCGGCTACGACGAGTGCTGCTGCTGGGGGAGGGAGTGGTGGATCAGGAAGTGGTGGTGCTGGAGGAGGAGGATCGGGGAGCGGTGGTACCGCTGGTTCTGGTAATGGTAATGGGGGTGGGGGTGGCGGTGGTGGTGGCGGTGGAACGGGAACTGGTGCTACTGCTACGGCCACTGCAGGAAGTGGCTCGGGCTCAGGTTCTGGTTCAGGTTCCGGGAGCGGTTCTGGCAGTGGGAGTGGTTCCGGTTCGGGTTCCGGCTCCGGAAGTGGAAGCGGCAGCGGTTCAGGCTCCGGTGACGGCTCTGGCTCAGGCTCAACGGGAACTGGTGCTACTGCTACGGCCACTGCAGGAAGTGGCTCAGGTTCAGGTTCTGGTTCAGGTTCCGGGAGCGGTTCTAGCTCCGGAAGTGGAAGCGGCAGCGGCTCAGGCTCCGGTGACGGCTCCGGTGACGGCTCTGGCTCAGGCTCCGGTGACGGCTCCGCCAGCTCCACACGAACCATCGTGACCACCCTGACCATGGCCTCCCAAGCTCCCGGCGCCAGCCCGACCTTCGCCGTCACCGAAGAAATCCTCGACTTCGCTAGGGTCGCAGTTCTCTACATCTTGCAGGAGGAAGCCCTCACTAGTGCCGAGGAAGCGCAGACGGCGATCCAGAAGGTGTTCTCCCAAGTGAGCTCGGCGATCCTGAACAAGGGGAGTAACCCTGTCAGTCTGGATACCGCCAGGAATGTTACCGTAGGCAATGGTAATTCGGTTGATTTTGTTGGGTTTAGGGTTGATGTTGGTGAGGGATTGGTTGGGGGTGAGTCGCATCCAACGAGGTTACGACGAGCAGAGGGGAGTGTCTTGGCATGGTTTTATTTGCAATGAGACCATGTGGGAAGGTGACGATGAGTATTGGGTAACGCAGTCAACGAACGAACTGGTGTCGAAAAAGATATGGGAGTTTTGCATCACTCACAAACGTATTCGAGGCATATCTACTTTTTCTGAACTTCGACTTTCGGACTCCGGCTCACCGGAGCAAAAAAAACGTTTGAATATTTGGTTTTTTTCTTCTTGGTATGCTGGAACTTGACGGGGCAAAAAAACCCGTTCTTCTTCTTCTTCCCTTTTCTTTTGTCAACGCATTTTAATTTCTTTCTTCCACCATGTATTATCTACACACATATGTTACACATCTTTTCTTTCTTGCTTTGGTCTAGGTATGTATTATGGATGGGTGGATGGATGGATGGATTGCATGGCATGGTCACTGGCGCGAGCGGGACCTGGACCGGGACCGGGACTGGGGATACTTTGGGTTATAAATACGCCGACACCGACACCGATACACTATGAATGGAATGGCTTTTCTTTTTTTTTCAGTTTCTGTTTGGATTTCAACATGGCAGTATAGTGAGGGGGAAGGTTTAGATAAAGTAAACAGTTGTAGGAGTACTAGACGAGAGGACGACAAAAAGCTGATAGCGGTTAAACCATAAAGTTGGTTTCTGTCAACTGTCCAATCATCTTGCGAATAACGTCCGAATTGGGAAGGCATGATACACTGTAGCTTGGAGGGAGATGGAGTCTTTTTGCTGCAGGTTTGGTGGAGCCCTTGGGTCGTTCTATGGCAGCACGGCTGCATGTCCAGCATATTGAAACGTGATGATTACAGGCTCGTGACACTGAAACGTCTGAGTACGTACTGCGTCTCGCTGCTATGGCGATCATACGGAACATCGCGAAAAAGCGATTGGAGACAAGTTCAAACGTACAATAATCATACCACGAACGAGCGTGGCTATGCCGCCGACGATCACCTGACGCTTACGTATGCCTTCATTTCACGGCATTTCACTTTGTGCTTCAGCGTTTAAGACTCCCCCCGTCCATGACAAATTACATGGGACCCCATTCGCCTGTCAAGAGCACGGCCACAGGTCTCATCAATTCTGTCATGGGCGAACCAGACCGCTGAGGATAGTCCCACTTGAAGGTCTCCTGTGACGCGTAATTGGCTCCGCTCCTTTGTCCGGATGGCCCGGGCGCTGGCTTGGTTGGTTCTTTATCGATTGGCTATTAGTACACTAACAGGCCGCTGAGGCGAAACATGATGAAGCGTTTGGTTCACTGGACTTCATTCTCCCGTCATCTGTGTCAAACCATAGTTCTGGGTTGAAAGCTGAAAACTGTTCATTTAGTTTCATCTCTTTTTCACCATCTTGCCGTGTTTTTGTCCCCCATCTTTTTTCAAACCCTTTTTATCAACGAACTGCTGTTTAGCTCGCCGAGCAATCGATCGTGCGTCATTGACCCGCTCATGTTAGTGCCCAGCTAGCAGCACTTACACCACCCATTTCCCCCTTATTCGGGACTTACACCTGAACCACCACCTACCCACCTAATACCATTTCGAACTTCTACCATTCAACAACCGATACGTATCTTCAACCATCATCATCACCACCACAACGATGATACCCAAACACCTCACCACCGCCGCCGCCCTCTCGGCCACCCTCCTCTCCGCCCGCGGCGCCGCCTTCCTCATCCCTCCCGAGCTCTCCGACACCGACATCGCCTTTGCGCAAGAAGTCGCTTCTGACATCAACAACCCTCCCTCTGCCAACGGCCTCGACCCCATCACCGCCTCCGCCTCTCAACACCAACTCATCGAGCTCGCCTGTCCCGGCTGCCCCGTCCTCGTCAAGGACCGTCACCACAACAGCCACCACCCCAAGGTTTTGACCGACAAACCGAACCACTTGGAGCTGGACTTCAAGATTGATCATACTGCTGGAACGGCGGGAGGGGATAGGTTGCTTGTTAACGGGTTTGAACTGTTTCCTAATGCTGATCCTTTGAGGGGGGAGTTATGGGCTGGACAGGCTTTGGAGGCGGGTGGTCCTGAACATGTGCGCACTGGCAAGGTCGAGGATATGGAGCATAAGGAGGAGGAGGAGAAAAGTGACCACAAGCACGATTCCGACCACGAGCATGACGACGACAAGCGCAAGCACAAGAACCGGAAGCATAAGAACAGAAAGCACCGCAACCGCCACCCCAAAACCCTCCCGCAAAACCTCGGTTTCGGGCTTCGCACTTCTCTGCCCCAGGTTTCTTCCGACCCCGCCGAGCAGTCTACTGCTGCCGTTACTCAAGAAATCATCGACTTAAACCTACAGATCCTCGAAGTCGGCAACGCCTTCGTCTCGGGAATTCCTAGCGTGGAAATCAAGCTTCTGAGGGATTCGGTCACGCAGAAGTTGATGATTGGGAATATCGAGACTGCTGCTTCCAACGAGGATAACGGGATTCCGGTGCCGTTTATGGGTGTTGTTCCCGACCAAAAGGAGGATGAGTGTGATAACTTCTTGTGTCGCCTGTTGGAGGGGTTCAGGGAGAAGGTTAAGAGTGGGAAGGAGACCTGGGGGAAGCATATGGGGGGTTGTCATGGTGGTCATGGTCATGGTATGGGTCAGGCCGATGACAACAAGCCTGTTGAAGAGGCTACTCAGGAGGGTGACCAGCGGGAGATGCCAGTGGTGGAGATTGATATTGAACGTATCGATATCACCGAGTCCGAGGACGGTACTTGGGAGATTGTCGCCTCTCCCGTTGAGGAGGTCGAGGAAGAAAAGAAGATCAAGGACCTACTCGATGAGGTGCCCGAGCAGGAGGCGTCTGAGGAGCATCACGGTTGGAACGGTCACGGTCACCACCACGGTGGCATGCACCGCTATGAGCACAGCTGGGGCCAGTTGCTTAAGAGCATCACTGCCCATGTGCTGTTGCCGGTGTTGATTGGTATTGTTGCTGGTGTTTCTGTTAGCTTGTACGTTTTTATTTCCTTACCCGTTTCCCCCTCCCTCTTGTTGACATCAGTAAATGCTAACGCATGAAACAGCATCGGCATGGCTTTCGGAACCCTCATCGTCGCTCTCTACCGCTTCTTCTACCGTCGTCATGGTTCCAGCGGTCACAAGTGCCGTCGCAACGGTGGTGCCGGTTGCAAGCGTGCTCATCGTCATCATCACCACGGCAAGGACGAAGCTGAGGCTCCTGTTGAGGAAAAGGCTGGTTTGTTGAATGCACAGGAGCCTGAGGCTGAGGTCGAGGCGCCCCCGGCTTATGAGGATGCCAAGGTTGCTGAGGAGGGCGAGGTCAAGAAGTGAGGATTGACCCTGAGTGGTCTGTATGCCCGCTGATAAGTTGGGAACATTGCAATGTAGGATATGGTGGAAGCTCAGGTTAGCGAGGGCAATGGAAGTTGAAGGGATAGCAGAGCTACTATACCAGATTGTCAAGCACCCAGATTCGGAGATTAGTTAGCTGTTTAGGTACGCTCTCTTGGCAAAATTCCATTTCAATTTGTTATATTTGAATCAAGTAAGCATTAACTACTACAAAACCTGCGTCGACCACTGCTAGTTCGCCTCGGGCTGATGGATGAGAATATTATGTTGTTATTATTATTATTTGTGTTGATAAGAGTAATCATTTTCGCTGAGCCGGCCTATATCTATCTAAGCAACACAACCACGTCCACGAAGTGTGTTGCTGGACAGGTGATTATTCCTTCGCTTTGTCCAAACCGCCTCCTCTATATGATGTAAAACTATCCGCCCTCGCAGGCATGATAAACGAAAAAACCCATATCCTATTCTTCGCTGATGTCAAATCGGTCGGTCGGTTGGTGCCGGTCGAGTGGTTGATCAATCGCCAGCCTCTCTAGTCGATGTGATGTGATCTTCTGTTCTCTTATACCATTGCCTCCTCCCTCTCAGCCCTAACCCTCCTCATCCGTCTCGCCAACTGCGCAAGACTCCTCAAGGGAGCTTTTATCATCACTTCATATGCATCCCTCCACCCGAGTTCCCGTTCCCGTTCCTCTTCTGGCTGGTCGGAGGTGTGGACGGAAACGGAGAAGAATTCTTTGATTGGGTGGTTGTGGGGTGAGACGATGTTGTTGATGTCGACACTGTTGGTGTCGCCCATTTCGAGATGGGAGAGGCGCCTGAAGTTAACGGTGGCTGTGCGTGTTGGACCGAGGAGGTTGGGGTTGGGGGTGTTGGAGGTGGGCATGTTGGTCGCGTTGGCAGAAGAGGGAGAGGGAGGTTGTGCGTATTTTGGCTTTGATGTTGCTGCTGAAGCTGGTGGGAGATACGCAGTTTTGGTCGTTGCTTTTGGGGCCGTGGCCGTGACGGGCACTGGAAGGTTGACGGCATATGTCTCTTGACGATCGGGCGCGGAGGAGGCGTTGCTCGCTAGTGTGCCGGTGAGGCTGGCTGGTGAAGACATGTTGAGTCTTGTTTGGGTTGGAGCAGCTCTTCTGTAATGGTGTTGGTATATAGTATTGGATGTTAGATCTTGTTCTTGATGCTAAGATGGGCAAAGGAGGACAGGTTAAGTTTGAGGATGTTTGGTGTTGTTTTTGATGCGAAGATATGCAAGGAGGGCAGCCAAGTCTTGACAGATGGTGGGTTTGCTGTTCTGGAGAAAAAGAAGACGGAAAGCGCTCTTCCTCCAGAGTTCTGATGTGGTTTCCTTTTCAGGTGGTTTAGAAAAAAGAAGTCTTGACCTTAATGCACCATCGAGTTATGAAGCCCTGAAATGGGGCCTGCCCTATGCCCGTGAAGAGCCACCTGGAAGAATTTATTTCTTTTCCGGACCGGACCTGGCTGCCTCACTTTGAAGCTGCATTCAGGTGCTTCACTGCACAATCAGGAGGAGTGCCTAATCAACAGTATAGAGTCAAGGGCGTATGAACTACACAACAAACAGTGACATTGAATAGCACCGGCATTCCCTAGTTACACACAGCTGGTTGAATAACACATCCATGGACCATCAAGGTGTTTGTAGTCTTCAAAATGACCCCCACTTAGCAACCACTTACACGACCCCTGGTGCCAAGCATTGGTGGGGCACTCGGGAACTGCAGCGGCCCTGGCCGTTCGGATGGAAACGCCCCACACCCACAGCGGGGCATCGCCCAGAACTTGAATCGGAGCAAAACAGCAGCTCCACCGAGAACTTTCCCGTGTGTCGAGTCCGCCCCGGCAAATGACGAAGTTCGTCCGCATCTTTCCCCAGCTTCTGTTTCGTCACATGCTGGTTGCTTGTTGTTGTTAGCAGCAGCAGCCTCCTTCGTCCCTTCGTCCCAACCACCCGACCACCACATACCTTACTCCACGGCCGATCAACCCACCGACCGACGAACGAACGGACAATGGCGGCCAGCGGGAGCATATTCCAGTGCCTCCTGCGCACGTCGCAGCAGAGCTTAGGAAAGAGGGCAGCTCAAGCTCAGATCATCATCTCAAGACAAACAGCAACAGCTCAAGCAGCAGCTGCGCCGCGATTCACGACAGCTAGACTCAGCAGCAAGGCTACTACTCCCCGCCGCCAATTCACCACCTCGTCCAGGCGCCGACAGACTCAACAACCCGGCGATGACCCGAACTTTACTTCCATCCTCGATAACCCTCCCGAGCTCGTCCGGACTGGCAAGAGACATGGCAAGGGGTTGATTATTCTGGGTACGTCCGGACCTTGCCCTTCTTCGCTTTACACATTTCCTCTCAACACCGAATACTAACCCAATTACCTCCTCCTCACAGCCATCATCCCCATCACCGCCCTCTTCCTCGGCACCTGGCAAGTCTACCGACTAAAATGGAAGACGGACCTAATCGCCAAATCCGAAGACCGCATCATCCGGCCCCCTTTGCCTCTCCCGCCCCGCGTCGACCCAGACGCCATCGCCGACTTCGACTTCCGCCGCGTCTACGCCGAGGGCGTCTACCGACACGACCAAGAGATGTTGATCGGCCCGCGCATGCGCGACGGCGAGCAAGGGTATATGGTCGTCACCCCGCTTGAGAGGGGCGATGATCCGAGCACCAAGGTGCTGGTCAACAGGGGGTGGGTAAGCAAGAAGTTTGCGGACCAGAGGAGCAGGCCGGATTCCGTCAAGCAGGGCGAAAAGGTCCGTGTGGAGGGCATGCTGAGAGAGCCGTGGAAGAAGAACATGTTTACGCCGGATAATAGGCCGGATATTGGCGAGTTTTATTTCCCGGATGTGAAGCAGATGGCCGAGTTGACTGGCAGTCAGCCGGTGTGGATTGAGCAGACTCTTGGTGGGTATCTCTGTTTTGTTTTTGCGTCTTGGGCCCTTTGCCAGTCATGGACATGGCTGTCCTGCCCCTATACTGGTATAATGGCTATTCTAGCTGGGTATGATACTAACGTATGTTGTACGCAGTCCCCGATATCATCACTTACTACGACTACGAGGCTCGTGGTATTCCCATCGGTAGAGTCGCCGAGGTCAACCTTCGCAACAACCATGCGCAGTACATCTTTACATGGTATGTCTCAAACGATACTTGACTCCTCCGTTGTCCTCCTTGACGTACCCTGCGGGATTACCACCACATCGGTGCCCGACTAACACATACTTAGGTACGGTCTCGCTGCTGCCACCTCCATCATGTTCTGGCTCGTGGTCAAGAAGCCCGCGAACCAAATTACCAAGCGCGTTCGCATGAACAAGAGCTGGTAAACATGATGTTATGAGTGGGTAAGGATGGTTTTGCTTTGTTACACATCAGTGGGTAACAAACATTCTCACGTCACCTCTTCATCCTCGCCTCCAGCCCCGGCCCGGCTAGAAGAGGCAGCCTTTCGGCGCTTCTTGGCCGGAACAGGTGGCGTCATTCTCAGTTCCTGGAGGAGCTCTCTAGGGAGGTATCGTTGCGCCAAGGCGAACGGTGTGGTTTGGGCGTTGGTTTGACGTTGTCTTTGGAAAAAAAAAAGTAAGTCAGCCCGTCGTGTACAATAGCATATGAAAAAGAAGTGTACAAAGAAGATCACAGAGGATATAAAAAGATACCCAGGGATCAAAGCAAAAGCATCAAACATACCTCTTCATCAATGTGAGCATATCACTCATGTCGATAGTCTTGCGATGCGCGTGCTTTGCGTACGCCGACAAGTCATCTCCCAACTGCTCAAAAAACCAGTCCGAAGCCTGCATGATCGCCTTGAGCGCTTCAGGCGAGATGTTACCCTTCGCGCCGCTCGTCTTGGCGAATGTTTGCGCCAACCGTTTGACCATGGCTGGGGATAGTGATGTGTACTCGATACCGTGTTTGGAGATCTTCTTGGTGGCTTTGATCTTGGAGAAGCCTCCTCGTTCACCGCCCTCTTCCCGAAAGAATCCGAGTTTCTCCCGCGCCGCTGAAGCTGAAAGTGATACCCTTGCCGCCGTTGGTGTGTAACCCGATAACTTCGTCATCTCTTCATCTGAGCCCGCTGCCTGGTCCTGGTCATGGTTGTTGTCCAGGTCCATGCCCATACCATCGTCGTTATCATAATCGTCAAATGTCGGTCCAATGTCGTTTCCGTCGTCATCGTTGTCGTCGTAACTGTCGCTCCTCCGATCCATCAACTCTGCAAAACCTCCGCCTTGGCCACTTGTTGCCGCTGCTTCAGCGGCTTGACCCATTTCAAACTGCCTCGTGGGAGAAGCAATCATGAACGTGCTCTCATCCATCCCGACCGGTACCTCAATATGAAAATCACTATCCCTCCCTCCAGCTCCCAGCAAACCCAACCCCCCTTCACCACCAATCGTCTCCCTCCTCCTCGTCTCGTCCGAGTCCAACCTGCTGAACTCATCCGGGATTCTATCCTCGGCGTTTCCGAACTCGTCGTCTTCTATTGCTGCAGGCGGAAAGAACCCCGAATCAATCCCATCACTTTGCTGCTGCTGCTGCCCGTGCGGTTGCGGGAAATCACTCAACCGCCCCATCGAATCCCTTATCCTATGTTGATCCTTCTCCGGATCCATCCGTCTCGGCAACTCAATACTCTGCACCGTGAAATTCTCCGTCAGATCTTCTAGTCCGGCACTCCGATGCGGTTGCGGCAGGTCATCGTCCATATCATCCTCCCAATCCCCTTCTTCCATATCTCCCAGCCCACCACCGCCGCCAATCGGTAAACTCAACCTAGGCCTCTTAGGCAATTCCTCCTCGTCATCGTCCCCGTACCGACTGCGCGTGGAGATGTCGAAGGTTAACTCCTCCGACGTATCCCCCTCCTCTTGTCCCCCACCACCAGCAGCCCCAGACAGCGCAGAACCAGGACTCGAACTACTACTAGGTATCCTCTCTGACTTGGGCGCCAACACTTTTCCCAGCTGCAGCAAGAAATTGCGCGGCGTCTCGCGCGCTTCGCGCAAGGAGCGCCGGCGCGCGTGGTGAGGCGTGAGGATGGCGGCGCGCCGGGAGTCGATGGCGCGGTAGGCGGCACGGACGTGGGGGGTCGCATTGGGGTTGGGAGTGTTGTGTGCGGAAATGAGGAGGCCGCGCGGGGTACGGGCGCCGGGGCCGGGTGTGTAAGCGGCTCGGGGGACGAACGGGATGCCGGGGGTGGTTCGGACGGGGATTTGGGAGGAGGATGGTTTTGACGGTGTTCGGGCTGGTGGTTGTGGTGGGTTATTGGGGTCGGCCATTTTGATGGGAGGAAGGCCGGGCCTGGCCTGGTTTGGTTGAGGAGTGCTGCGATGGGATGCGATGAGATGGGTGTCGGTTGATGGTGTTTGGAATGCGCTGAAGCAAAGTCGCAAACTGCTGGCTCCAAGAGTTGTCGTGAACCGTGGTGTGGGCTTTCTGGTATTGCGAATCCGTGAAGCCGTGGCCGGTCGGTCGGTGTTGTGAACCCCGATGACGAAGTTCGGAGGACAGACGCGACGCGTTTGGGCTTGGTTGCTTGCTTGATTGATTGCCCATTGATGAACGGGCGCACTTTCGCAAGTGGAACGGCGTTGATTGATCTGCCCCGCTTTTCCTTGAGTTGAAGCTACCCCACAATTCCGTAGTGGGGCGGGTGCGCCCGGACGGTCAACGCCCGGGCCAGCCAGGCTCGCCAGGGACTTTCCCCCTTGGATCATTCTCCACCAGTGATGAACCTCCCGCTGATCTTGTGGTTTGTTGTGTTTCCGTTCTGCAAAAAGTCTCGCTTGTTTTGCTCAACTTGTCTTGGGCCATCCGTACTCTCGGGAAAGCGGAGTGATGGACGGTGTCAGTGTCGGCTTCGTTCAGTTCTGGAAATACCTACGTCACGATGCTTCGGACACTGCGTATTACTGCGTACAAGGCTCCCGTTCCGTTGTACGTCCAAGGGCTCGCTCCGACGATACACCGCCAAAAGACGAAGGTCCGTCCGATAAGGGGAATATCGCAGCCGCTGTCAATAGTGATAGCGATAACGATGTGAGAACTTGTCTTTGTGCTCAGGCAATATCAGACAGTTCTATATACCAGCCATTGCCTGGCGTTAGGTTGTCACAATTGAACTTGGCTAAAAGCAAATCAGGGGGTCCTCATCCATACAACGATGCCCGTAGCCTCGCGCCTTTGTATGGCTTGACTTTCTTCCTCTTGGCGGTTGCTCGGACTGGAGATATGTTACAGATTGCCCGGGTGCTTCAAGAGCCGAATCTCAGACGCAGCCATCCGTCGTCTGTCAGTGGCCGTAGACATTCCCCGTGACAGCAAGCAGCACCATTACTCCACTGAAGCGCTGTTGTTTCTGGAGTGTCGAGTTGAAACCTTTGTGTCGGCAATGTCCAACGGCATGCAGTGCCGCTATCCATCAACAACTACGCCGATGAGATCACCAACAGATCGAGCTCCTCCTCTCTCTGGAGACTTGAGCCACCAAGTTTCGAACGGGTGAATTCGATCACCGGCCTCTGTTTCCCCTATCCTCCGATTGCCAAGACTGCACAACAATAAAGCCCCTGATATGGATATTGATTGGTTAGCGCGTTGCTAGAGGCCATCCACAAGTGTCCCGAGCATTACTCAGTTGCTTGTTGCTTCTGGTAAAGAGATGTTGTCTTTGATTACCAAGGTGATTGAAGCATTTTGACGCCGAAATGTTAGAGACATTGACCAACTCCCCAATCGAATGCCATGCCGCCAACAGAAAAAGTGACGGCACCTTTTGAAGGAATGATGGGATCTGAAAGGCTAACAGCGCTTCCACTCCACTTCAATCACCAGAGAAACGGGCTGCCCTTGTTGTTCAGTGCGACTTCCCCCGCCACGCCGCCACTTGCAGTTGGGAAAAGGACAGTGCGCATTCCCCTTGGTCTGGACAGTTTCTTTTGAGATGTTATCTTCAACTCGTGCTTTTGAGCGCACTATTGATGTTAGTGACTGATGATCAGTGGTCCGTCCTCTGCCACTGTGAGATGAAATCGACCCGACCAACTGTATGGGACGTCTCACTCTTTTTACCGCAATACACTGCCAAGTACCGCTTTTTTTCATTCGATTTGGATTCCTTCTAGCCAGCTGCAGTATAGTACTGCCCACTTTTCCAAGCCTCCTGCAAGCCAGAGTGGGAGAGTGGGTATGTGAACGTGGCCACACAAGGGGGTGAGATTGGTTGAAGCCCCTGTTGGGCCCAGATATTCCCGGCGCTATACCTGTTCTGAGGGTATCCAAATCGAATGAAAAAAGCGGTACTCGGGCTGCCAGACTGCGATAAGTCGTCAACAAAAGAGACCAATGGTGAGACGCACAGCAGCGACTCCAGCGTCACAAAGAAGCTACTTCCCAGACCGTGATACAGTAACAGCCGTAACCCTGGACCCGTCCTGACTCCTCACTGCAAGCACTGACCAGTGACGGGGCTACAACGGCACGAATGGCAGCGACCAGCCAGCGGCCACCAACCACTGGGCTCTAACGGGCGCCCAGTCCAGGCGCGCCCCAGGGCAAATTCCCAGCCTACTCCCTGTCTCCGCCCGCTTCCCGCCTCTTGAACGAGGACCACTTTGACCACCCAAGACCAGAGGCAGTGCACCACACAAGTCCACAAGTGCACCACACCTGCCAGCCTCAACCGATTGCACCGACCGACCCAACCCTTTTTTTTCTGTATCCCAAAGACTTTCTGCCACTCCGATCCGTCACTGCTGCTTTCACATCGACTACAACGACATACCAAATCTCTAATCACGAGTCCCTAATACCAATCCCACCCCCAAAACAACATCCCCAGCCATTCCCACAATGGCTGCTATCGGAGGCGTGCAGTCGATCAAGGTTCGTTGACTTCAAGAGTCCTCTCCTCTGACCTCCACCACCGCTCCGTATCGACACCGACACGGCCACCGCAATCGCTACCATCCTCGTCGCGAATCCATCAAGAACCGCACAATGTTTACAAAAGAGATACTAACACTCCATCTTCTGCTTCTAGTGCGTCGTCACTGGTGACGGTGCTGTAGGAAAGGTAAGCTCACACCCACCGCTCCCCCCTCAGAGTCACCGTGTTCCGCATCGCGCAAGGCCTAACCCTCGATTGCCAGACATGTCTTCTCATCTCATACACAACAAATGCCTTTCCCGGCGAATACATTCCCACAGTGTGCGTTAAACCCATTCGACACTCTTATCCGCGATAACTAGACCACCACCACCCCGGAAACTGACACGCGCGCTGCGATAGATTCGATAACTACTCGGCGAGTGTTATGGTCGATGGCAAGCCCGTGAGCTTGGGTCTCTGGGATACTGCTGGACAGGAGGATTACGACAGACTGCGCCCGCTTTCGTACCCCCAGACCGACGTCTTCCTCATCTGCTTCTCGCTCGTCAGCCCTCCGTCGTTCGACAACGTCAAGTCCAAGGTGAGTAACTGCAATGAGGGAGGAGGGGACACCACGCATATGGACCAAAATGCTGACTTTCCCGGCAGTGGCACCCCGAGATCCAGCATCACGCCCCCGGCATCCCCATCATCTTGGTGGGCACCAAGCTCGATTTGCGCGAGGACCCCGATACCATTCAGAGCCTGAGCCAGAAGCGCATGGCTCCGATAACGTTCGAGATGGGTGTCAACTGCGCCAAGGAGATAGGCGCGAGGAAGTACCTCGAGTGCTCTGCTCTCACCCAAAGGAATCTCAAGTCCGTTTTCGACGAGGCCATCAGGTAAGTCCATAGCCCACCCGCCCCCTCTCCATTAGATACGAAAACGAAACGCAACGAACTGACCCACATAAAACAACAGAGCCGTGCTCTACCGCGTCGATACGACCACAGAAAAGAAGAAGTCCAAGTGCACTATCCTCTAATTAATTCACCACAACCAACCAAACCAAACCAGACATACCACCACCACCACCATAACACCATCACACCAACGCTCATGAGGCCATTTACCGAGGGCGCAACGAACGCTTTGACATCAGCACAAAACAACAGGGTGTTCCATGGGGATAATTGTGAGGGGACACCATCTATACCCGGCGGACATAATTACATGTTGATGAGATTTTCTTTTCCTGGTTGTTCTGATCGTCTCGAAATAAACTCGCAAGCTGGTTTTCGTTTTTTTCCGTCTTTTTATTTTCATCTTTTTGGATCTATCCCTCCTCTACTACTACTACCCCGAACAGAAAGCAGAAGTGGAACGATACGATTCTCATCTATCTAGTGCCGACCGATGATGCTGGTGTGAAGTGCATCCATTCATCCTCCTCCACGTAACGGATAGGGCGGGCGGGCTTATAACACACAACGACACTCTTTTTTTCAGGCAGGTGATCATGAGGGGTACTGATGCGAGGAGAGGTCACAATCGGCGGGTATGGGCGAGGAGAGGGAAGGATCGAGGGATGCGCCGTCAGTTCCTTGGTACAATTTCTCCCGCTCGAGTAGAACAGAATATACAAGAGGAGTTGGGAAGAATGGGGGTGGATAGGAGGATCGTATAGTGGAGGAAGGGAGGGTTAGACAGAGCGAGAAGAGGAAAGAGTAGGACGGGGGTCAAGGGGATTGTAGTCGTAGTTCGGTAGGCTAGATCGAGGGAGTGCCATGCAAACTAGTTCAGATCAAGTCGTCGTTCACTGCTTTTTGTGCATTCTCTGAGGTTGACGGATCAGCTCCTGTTGACCATATCCGTGGTCTTTCAAGACCCTCTTCTACCCTATCTGATGTCCCGTCATCCAAGGTCTTCCAATACCCATCCCGGTGTCTTCCATCTGACTACCAGCTGGAGGTGAAGAGCCGACATTTCATCCCGTGATTCAGAACCTTCATCTTCCTTCTTTATCACCGTCATAAGATCTGCGCAGAGCCCGACGGAAGTGAAAAGAGCTAGACGAAATTCTTACAATATCAAAATTCCGGCATTCATCTGTTTCCTCTAAGGATTGGACTCAAAGGCGGTGAACGGATCGGGCTCGACAAACAACCGCCAATGACAGAAGAACCTTCAGTTGGTACAGTTGCTTCGTAGATTTCATTTGAAGAAGAGGTCGTGGGTAGTCATGGTGGTTGGTATGACCTGGCATATTTCATCGTGAGATTCTCTGTTCTTTCAAACCAACCATCCTTCTATCAAAGAAAAGGCCCGATGACACATGCAAAGGCGCAGGTTCGAGGGTATCATAAAGTTTCCTTGCTCTCTGACTCCTGTTGACTGAATCTGAATCTGACGTTGATGTGTATCCATTCCCCCTTTTCCTCTCCGCCTCCTTGGATGGGAACGTCTACCCTGTTCCTGATGGTGGTGGGAACCGCGATATGCAACAGTAGTAAAAGTATAAACAAAACGTGGACAAGAACACGCTGATAATGACATGAACAAAGGAAAATAAGGGACACCCGCGAAACTACCGAGCCTTAACCAAAGCACCAGACACGCGCGTGCTCTCTAGACAAAGCATAACTTGTCCAAAGCGTGCGTTCATGGGAAGCCCTAACCAACGGCAATTCTCAACCCCGGATCAAACCAGCCAAGCCAGAGTTTTCATCCTTCCCCGCCATCACTCCATTGCTCCTCAAACCGTCGCAGAAGCAAGTCCTACTACCACTTCTTGTAGCCACCGCGACCACCACCGCGACCACGTCCACCACCACGGCCACGACCACCACCACGACCACGACCACCACCACCAAAACCACCACCAAAACCACCACCAAAACCACCACCCCCACCGTACGAATCCTCCTCCTCATCATCACCACCACCAGGGTTACCGTCGTACGCGACACGCGCTCTCCTTGAAGGGTGGATAGCATCCTCGTCGTTCCTCTCCGGTACAGGAGCAGCGCCATCAGCACCCTCAGGAGCATTAGCCTTGGCAGCGGCCTTCTCCAGCTTGGCCTTCTCCTGGTTCTGCTGGCGGTTCAGACGCTCCTCGTTGAGCTTGCGGTTCTTCTCCTTGATCTTGTCTTGGCGGTGGGCGGTTTTGCCTCCTCCGCCGGCGCTGTGTTTTGAGGAGTTCGTGTCAGCATTTGCGGTTCGCATTGAGGTTGAAGGGGTGAGGGTAGGGAAAGGGAAAGGGAACAGGACGGGCAAACTAACCTCAACTCAACATTAATCTTCCTCGGCACGCCCTTGTCGTCCAACATCTCGCTGTGGTGGAACTTCTCGAGCGCCGTCTTCATGTGGTCGAAACGGCCGAACTCGACGAAGGCGGTGCCCTTGGACTTGGTCGGGTTGTCGCGGTGGGTGAGCAGGCGGACGGAGATGGGGTGCACAGACGCAAAGTGCTCCTTGATGGTGTCGGCGGTGGCCGAGTAGGGCATGTTGCCGACGAAGATGATGAAGCGGGTTCCCTTGGCGCCGTTGGCCTGGGGCTGTTCCTCCTCCTTGGTGGCCTCCTCTCCGTCCTCACCCTCCTTCTTCTCCTCGGCCTTCTCCTCAGTCTTGTTCTTGTTCTTCTTCTTGTCCTTCTTCTTGCTCTTCTTGTCGGTGGACTCCTCGGCCTTCTCCTCGGTCTTGGACTCCTCGGTGGTGGAGGCGGCCTTGTCCTTCTTCTCCTTCTTGTCCTTCTTCTCCTTCTTGTCCTTCTTCTTGTCCTTCTTTTCCTTCTTCTCCTCCTTGGCGGCGGCAGCGGCGGGCTCCTCGGTGGTCTCGGTCTTGGACTTCTTCTCCTTCTTTTCCTTCTTTTCCTTCTTGTCCTTCTTGTCCTTCTTCACCTTGGGAGCCTCAGTCTCGACCTTGGTGACCTCGGCCTTGCCGGACTCGTCGACCTTGCTCTTCTTGATGGCGATGGAGTTGACATCCTCCTCGGCGGTGCGCGAGCGCTTCTTGGAATCCTTGGTGGACTTGCCCATTTTGTATGATTTGCTGTCGTGTGGCGTGGGGTAATTGATCTTATTGGTTTTAGGAGGCGAAAAGGGAAGGTTCAACTTTGAAGAGATCTGGATCGTTGCACAAATGGGAAAGGGAAGGAAGGAGTGCCTGCTGGTTTCCCCGATTATTTTTTCTGCCGGTTCAATTGCAAAGGCGGAGAACGATAAGAATTGGGGTTCGCACTTCTAGTCGCAGCTCGTCCCGCATTGGTGGGGCCGTCCGCTGCAGTGACAGAGAACAGTGAAGTACCCACCGAAATGCCATCCAAGGTCCCCCCAGAATCTCTTATCTCCACCATCTTGTTATTTTCAACATCATCATGGCATTAGCTACCTACAATATGAAAGTTTACAGGATCTCATAGCCAATTCAAGCCAAGGAACGATCAAAAGGAAACCTCGACGATGCTCACATCCACCTTCTCCTTTCCAATGCCCCGGTCCAGGTCCACGGAGTCACTGTCCAGCAGGACCACCCTCGACCTCGAACTGGCACTCAACTCACGAACCGCGTCTAGAAGCTCACGGGATCTTCTCTCTGCCTTCTCTTCATCCTCATTATGAGGATTATACGCTTTTCTCCGCCACTCAAAGTATTGCCAGGGGGAGCGCCCAGTGTTATCAGCCATATCTGCCTCCATCTGGATGTCGTGCCCTTCTTCCGCCTCGTTCAGCTTCACGACAATGGAAAGTCTGTCAGTGCCTCTATTACACCCGCACTCCCCATCTTGGCCGCTTCATGCAGTACATCTTGTCCGCTGTTGTCGATCATGTCAATCCTGGCCCCAAGACTAAGCAGTGTCCGAACCATCGCCTCTTTGCTGTACGTGATGGCAGTCATGAGCGGCGTCCGTCCGGTCTTGCGTCTTTATCGTCGCTTCGAGGTCGGCTTCGCCGTACTTTACCAGCGCTGCCGCGTTTTCCACCTGGCCATGAGCCGCCGCCGGATGCAGAGGTGTGCGCTCATAGATGTAATCCTTGGCTTCAACATTGGCCTGGCCTTCTGTTGATGAGAAGCTCAACGAGGTGTTCACTATCAGGGACCTTGGAGACTTCGTGCAATGGCGTGCGTCCGAAAATGTCGCGAGCTTCGATGTCCGCTCCGTTCTTAAGCAAACGCTCAGCAACCCCCATCGATTGGGACTTCATAGCCCAGTGAAGCGCTGTCTTCTTGTTTTTATCCGCGATGCTCGCATCAGCACCAGACTCTAGTAGGAGCTCAGCTACGGCCGGCTTATCGAGAGCAGCAGCCCACGCAAGTGCGGTGCGGCCAAACGAATCAATGGCGTCGAGCGAAGAAAGGTTGACCTCGAGATGTTGGGCGAAGGGAGCTCCAGGTTCGGAAGATGGCGAGCTGCAAAGACGGGAAGTTGAGTTTGTCCAAGAGCTCATCATCTTCGAACAGGCGGCGGATCTCAGAAAGAGTCTCGACCCGAGAGGCAGCCGCGGATGCGGGCGCAACTTTCTCAATGGCCATCGCGGAGGTAGATACGCCGGCGTGGTCCTCGAAGTTCTTGTTCACGCCCTGTTCGAGCAAATATTTGCACATATTGGGTCGCTCAAACTCGACAGCAAACTGCAAAGTTGTACGTCAGCGCTGAGAACTCCGTGATATACTTGAGACGAGCCTTGGGAGCAGGTTCACTCACATGCAAGAGGGACTTTCCATCCGGGTTCACATCGCAAGGCGACACCTGCCCTTGGCCTAGGATGCTAGCGAGCTGCTGTACGGTTCCATGGTCTAGGTTCCTCCATACAGGGTCCGCGCCAGTCAACATCTTCGGAATGTGCAGAGTCCATGAGCCATTGGTGCGGAGGGTCTTCCTCTCAAGTGAGAAGGCTAGAGCCCGGGACACCAGCCACGTTGGGAAATGGTAAGTGTATGTGGTCATTGCACTGGTCCCTTTGCCGGAGGCTTCGCACCGTTTATGATCGCAGGGAAGTTTCTCCCAAAGTGGGGAGCCAGTCAGTGTGCCTCACAAAGAGCGTTCCAACAATGTTCTTGGGAGTCTGCACCTCAGTCTTGAAGTGGCAATGGCAAGGACATCCTATCTTGCACTTGGTCTTCGTTTGGAAGGCAGTAATACTTGTCATCGTATAGTTTAGTGAAATTGATACCTCTGGACAGCGTCCGTAACACAGGCCTCAGACTCCGCCATTCTCAAATTTAGACGCCCAAGCAGTCAATGAAATAGTTACATCTTCCTCTCATTCAAGTTTTCGTGCCGGAACCCCTTTATTGAAGCTGAGCCGCGCGTCGCAAACTCGTGTGCCGCTCTCTCTGTTGGTTCAAACAGCCGCCCGCAATATACTTGTTGTTGTCCAACTTTGCTTCACACTTGCAAAAGTTAGAGCTCTGCAGACACGAGCAAAACACCTGTGAATGAACAATACGCTTGAATAAACAATACCTGACTGGTCCTCAGGTTTGACAACACCAAAAAAAAATTACCCAAAAAAAAGTGTCTTCCGAATCCGCACCTGGGTCGAACAGGTACCTAACCCCAACCCACCCACTCTCCTATCCAGGGTCCTAGAAGCGGGCCACTAGCCTGGTGCGTCCACCAAGGGTAATGTGCTTCTCGCCAGATAAGGAGGCCTAACATCGCGGCGGCAGATAGTTGCGAGGACTTAGCTCTCTCCCCTCCATCACCAGGTGCGTCCACCAGTGATACGAGGTTCAAGCAACTAATCCCACAACAAGTCATACCGGCGAAATGTTTCGGACACGCATGTGCAGTTCAGGTCTTTCTCCATGATATCTGCAACCTCTCACAAGCCGGGGGCGGATATGGAACCCTAGGGGGGGCCTACCGACGAGTTGCACTTTTGGCTTGTTCTCCTGTCGATTATAGTGTACACCATGTCACTTTGGTGATGAATGATCGAGGTAGCTAGGCTCGAAAATTCGTGACTGGGTCGGGAATCGAACAGGGAACCTCGTGCGGTGGTAGGGGCCATACCGGCTTGTGGAAGTACCCTGCGGGGATTAGGGGGTCGCAGAAAAGGTCCTGGAACAGTTTGCAAAAGTTATGTTAGCCGCTTAATAGAATTTTGGCATTAAAGGTCTGATATGAATCCCTTCGCTAAAACAGTAAGTTGCGCGCAAAAGTTTTTCAAAAGAAAAAAGCTATTAAGAAAATTTTTGAAGGGAGAAAAATAATTTTTCTCTCCTTATCCCAAATCCTTAGTCTTGGGTTCTTCTTCCTTGGTCTGATGTTCTTCTTCCTTGGTCTGATGTTCTTTTTCCTTAGTCCAATGTTCATCTTCTTCCTTGGCCTAGTATTCATCTTAGAAATTTGGAAAGAAATGGTATGGTTACGATTCGAATTAGAGGTCTATAGAATAGCTACGGTTATTATTACGACTACGGCATATAAATATTTCGTGCGCGGATGTATGTGCGAGTGGTGGGAAATTAGGGTTTATATAGTAGGTTTGAAGGTTGAGGGGGAAAGAGCGAGGGTGAAGTTAGAAAGAGTGTGGGCGAGATTGGAAAGAGAGGGAGGAAAATTGGAAAGAACAGCGGCTGGAAAAGTTCGTGCAACAGGTCAAAATAGAAATTTATTTAGAAAAGTAAAATCAATGCAACGAAGTGTTTTTCTTCCAACGGAATTCGTAGCCAAAATCGCTGTACAATATTCTTCTAGATAAACCCGACTGTTACTGCCTTAACGCCCCAATATGGACCTGTTCTACGACCCCCTCTTCCCCCTAGGGTATGGGTTGAACAAGGTTGTGTGCTGCCCATTACACCAACGGACCACCGCTCGGGTGTGTGGAAGACTGGATGTGGTGGAAGGAGGGCCTGGGATTGGGGGTTATATGGGCAGGTGCGACCGGTTTTGGAGCGCTGGCAGGAGCGACCGCCCCGCGGTTAGGGCGGTGGACGAGACGGGACGGAAGGGGAAGGGCGGGCCGGCGAAATGGTGTGCCTGCCGGTTGGGTGCCGGGTGGCGGACGCCGGGCGCTGGGTGTTGGTGAGGGAAGGCGTACGCCTGAGGAAGGAGCGAAGCCTTGGAACCTGGAAATTGTCTGGAGACAAAACTTCCACAATAATTCAACATGAACATAGTATAGTACTACTATCAGCTCACGGTTGGAACTGAGGTGAGTTAAGGATTTCAGTTGGGATACTATTAATGGGCGAAAGGGACGATGACACGGATGGATGGCTACTCACGAGAACCGAATGTTTGAATGGCTTCAATATCGGCGAAGATTCCGAGATATGTCAAAAGCAAAGCCATCAGTGTCCTCGATAATATCCCTGATTATTGTGTGCTTGCGGCATAGGTGTGTATCGCCAAACCCTTCGTGACGGACACTCCGCGCAACCTCCATACAGGATTGACAACATGCAAGATTAGATATACTATACAGATCTACGTCGCTGCTGTTGCTCATACCCGTCATGCCCATCATCATCACCACTACCGCTATGCCACCCGGCAGCCATTCTCACTCGCACCAAACAAACTCCACGATCCACCACCGCTTCCGCTCCTGCTCCCGCTCCTGCGGTACTACCTCTTATTCGAACTCTTCCTCGGCTCCCTCAACGTCCCAGACTCATTTGAGCTGCTCCCCGCCAACGCAGCAAGTGGAACTTCAGCACCACTTGTAGTAACACCACCTACTGCCCTGCCTGTATGTCGTAAGGAAATTGGCCGATTAGTATCCAGCTCTCTGAGAATATCCAACACAACTCGGCATCGCACACACCCGCAGAAGACAAAAAGGGGAAAGAAAGAACCACCAAAAGCATAAAACATACAAACACGCACGCACGCACGCACGCACGCAAATTCAAGGAGACTCACTAGGACCAAGACTGATCCCCTTGCCACCCCTGAGCGAGTTCAAGCTCATTTGGCTCGCGCCCGTTCCCCTGCTCTTCGGTGGCGTAATCGAAGGTAACGCACCTTGAAACTCGGAGTCCGGACTCCTGTTTGACAGTGACTCGGCCCTCGAGTCGTTCTCAAAGTGCCCATCCAAAGACCCGGGATACATCGGGCTAAGCTTGGAACCAGAAGTGCTGTTGAGGCTGCCAACAGGAGTCGTAAGAGGGCTCTCGCGCGCCTGATGCGGTACCTGGAGTAGCTGTTGCTTCTTTGGGCTACTACTCGTATCCGGTGAGCTAGAGAAGGATTTCATGCTTCGTAGCTCGTTGACCTGATCCAGCCGTTCCTGGCGCTCGTCGGCGTCAACAAATTGCTCCTCGCCATCACGGACACTCCCGGCCACGGCAGTGCTGACGTCGCTGTCGGCAGCCGTATTATCACCGCTCTTGTTAGGAATGAAGCGATTGAAGGAGCCACTGGCGCTCAGGCTGACGTGTCGGGCGCTGCGGTAGCGTTCGTATTCTTCCTTGGTGTGTTCGGCTCCGGTGAAACTCTCGAGTGCATCAAAGACGTGCTGGAAGACTTGGGCATCAACGTCACGGGCCCAGAGGAAGTCGAGGTGTTCGTAGTGCGGGATCTCGGTGGCCACCGTCTGTGTGGGTAGTTCGCGAAGCATGACCTTGATGTCTACGAGCGAGTCGATGCCCCCGTAGACTAGTACAATTGGCGTCTTGATGTTGCGGGTGGGATACTTGGCGACCTTGGTGTACTTGCTGCTGGAGGAGAGCATGAGCGGGGGCTGTACATCGTCATCGTACATCTGGAAGGACTTGGTGCGGATAATCTGGAACCAGTGGACGACCGACTTGGTGCTTGTGAACGAATAAAGATGCGGGTATGCGGCAAGCTTCTGCGAGGTGCTGATATTCTGGGTCTTCCAGTTGAAGAGAAAGCTGAGTCCCATGTCGATGAGCTTCGAGAAGATGGGCGGGTAGAGGATCGACTGCCACATGGTTGCCGAACTTAGAATAGAGCGTCTTCCAAAGAGTAGGTATAGCACCTGCGGTGAGGCCTTGACGAGTGCGTCGACAATGCCGTTAGATAGACCGGCCGGGGACATGGCTGGGGCAAGAGCGATAAAGACGTTGACCTGGTCGTTGAGCTTCGGGTGGATGGACAGACTAGCAAAAGCTTGGGCTGTGCCCTGGGAGAAGCCGATGTATGACAAAGACGGCTGCCCTGTGGTTTCCAAGATGTAGCTAATGCTGTCGGGAATATCGTGGAAGGCGAACTCGTCGATCGAGAAGTTCCAAAACCTCTGTGACATGGGCGAACAGTGGACGGACTTCTTGGAGTACTTGTTGCCGCGGTTGTTTCCGAACTGCAATGTAAACTTTGTTAGTGGTGTTTCCGGCAACACTACGGGCAACACAACTCACCCAAACATCAAAGCCGCGCTCAACGAGCACAAAAGGCAAGCACCTCTGCTCGTCCGTGAGACAGACCCATACCTCGCTGTTCATCAGCAGACCGTGGTGGAGGTAGACAACGCGCTTCTTGATGCTGTTCGGTCCTCGGTTGACCTTTGTATCTTCCTCGCCCTTCCTGTAAGCCAACCGGTGCAGGCCGAGCAGATATCCATCCTTAGTTTGTACCACATGCTCTTCCGCGGTGTATCCGAACAGGGCGCAAAGATCGACAAAATCGGAGGCGTTTCGGACGGCTTCAGAGACGGCTGTACATATCGGTTAGGATTAGTTTCTTGCATGACAACCGACAAAGGCTCAAGGTATTGAGTGATTGTCACATACGCTGTCTCCTCTCCTCCGCCCGCTTTTGTGCTGGTGTTGTCCATCTATTAAACAGTCGTCTCGATAAACGGTAGAAAAGAGTAATTAGGGAATTAGGTAGGGCAAGCGTCAGGATACGGATGAGGGCCTCGAGTCCCACGAGCAAGAAGGACCCGATAAGCGCAACATACTCGGTGCTGTTGGAGACGAGATAAGACGTTAGACAAGTGCACCGAGATACGGGATGGTCAGGTAGGGGAAACAGAGGCATGTCTCACACATCGAGTCGCCCAAGAAATGGAACAGGCATTTTGGCGGCTTTCGGCAACTATACTCTCATTGGCCGCAAAGTTAGGTAGATTAGGATTGGAAGCGATCGATAGCTTAAGCTGTGCAAGTAACAGCTCTGGTCGAAAGGAACAGGGCAATCAGTAGCTCCCGAGAGGCATCATCGAGACCGCGCGTATAGGAGAATGGATAGAGATTGTCCAGGTCGGGACGGTACGAGGTGGTATACAAGACAGATGTGCGGCCAAAGAATAATGGGAAATTATTATATATAATGTATGGGGTCAAGAAGCTGTTGGTCGGTTGGTGATAAGGGAAAAAAAAGGCGGCCAAGATTGAGAAGGGGCGGTTTGATCCAATGTGATGTCACAATGTCAGGGGTGATCACATGCAAAAGCTAGGACAGAAAAAGAAGCTCTGAAGTGGAAGCGCAAGCGGTGTGCATCTCCTTTTCCTGTAGCACCTTCTAGTGTTTAACTCTTGGCCTTCTTCATATGTGAACGATTCACACTGCATGAAGTGTTCTCCATCTGATCATTGGCTCCTCGTTTCAGTACCGTTTAGCATAATATTGAAGGATGACTAACCATGGGAGCTGTGACCCAAAGCCCGGTCACTGTGTTGGTGTAGATCGGATGGGCGATGGAGGGCCTGGAGATCGTGGAGGGGTCCTGGCTCCTGGGATACACAAAGCCTGGGGTTGAGAGATCTAGATCTTGTGTATCCGCACACTTTATTCCCTGGTTGACGGTACTTACCATTCAACAATATCACGGACTCGGATGATATACCGGGCTCCTCAGCAATACCTCGGTGCTCGAGCAGTAATGTCAATATTCAAAACGAGGAAGAGAAGGAAAAAAAGAAATAAGGACCGGAACCAATGGAATTGCCGAACCCCTGAGACTCTGAAGAGCCCGGGCGCTGTGTAAGTGCCAGTGCACAGGCCGCTTTGTGCCCTATGCTCCTGCACTTTAGCACACCCGTTCGGCCCCGCGACTAGCGCACCCCAGCGATGGGATTCTGCCGCGTTCTGGAGATTGGAATTCCGATCGCCGTCCCTCGTTGCCCGCCAAAGTTTCCCTGACCAGCCACCACAGCCGGAGAACGCAGTCACCATGCCAAGCTCATGTAAAGAGATTCGTAGGTTACCAAAATCCCTTTGCTTTGGTTTGCTTTGTTGAGGTGATCCGCTAACCGTGCTCTCTCCCCCAGGCGCCGCGCTGGCGCAATGCCTCCAAGAGTCCGACTGCGTTATGGTCCATAGAAACTCGGCCGCCGATTGCCTCCGTGCTCCTCTCGCCGACACTCTTCCAACCCAATGCCAGCAGTTCAAGAGAGCCTTCGGAGACTGCAGGCGAGGCATGATCGACATGCGCAAGCGATTCCGCGGCAACCAGCCCATCACCTTCCAGAAGCTCCAGGAGACCGAACAATCAGGCGATGGCTACCAGTTGTATGCCGGCAAGTCTGCCTTTGCTGGCGGCAAGGGCGTCACAGATGGCAACAACTCGGCTGAGCCGGACTGGAGAGAGTTGGAGAACCAGAAGTACAGAGAGCAGGCTGCTGCTGGGGCGGACAAGAAGTAATCGAACCGATACGAGGGCATTGCGCCTGCGCCAAATCACAACACACCCGGAATCGAGGATAATCAGCTGTACGATGAAAAGGAAGGCGACGGTTCCATTACGAAAGCATGGGGAAGGGAACCAAGTATGAGGCTTGGTCAGGCGTGTACGACTTGAAAGCGTTAGGGCCTACAGGTTATGGGTGGAATACAAGTATCAGCATTGGTAGGCGTTTTGGATTTTACAGCGAAATACGAGGTTATAACTGTACCACTGCCGCCTTATTACTGCGCGACAACATGTGACACCAGTCTCTTACCGCCATGCGCTTGGGTTACCTGTACGACAATTCGAAATCACCAAGGGGAGAGCAGCTCACAACTCAACAACTTTGTCGAGCTCGCCGAATGGGAAACACCGGTTGAAGAAAGAAAGGCATCAGTTTTGCCATACGTCCCGGATTCGAATATCCAAGTCCCGGTTTTATAACTATGAGCACCTAAGTGTTTGACTAAGCTCCGCAGTTGTCTGATTCTGAGAACAGTCAGTCCACAATCTTCCTGAGACCAACACCCTCTCCAAGAACGGCGCACCTATCAGAGAGCTTTTCACCTACACGTGTAGACACCAAGGTGTGAAAGGGTACGTGTACCGGTTCGCGAAGATCCGTGCTTATTCGTCAAAGCTGGCGCAGAGGGGCGGACTTCACTCCGTCACACATGATCCAAAAACTGAAGATGCTATTGTTCAGACTATCGAGACTTGAGACATTGGCTCTGCATCGGACTGCTTCCACTTCTTATATATCTCCTGTTCATTTTGGATTTTTTTCTGTTGCATCCTGAAAACTTGGAAGTTGTTTCCCCTTTTTCTCCATCCTGCAAGTATACCAGCCCCGCATATTCCTCTTTTCATCCTTCCCTGAACTTTTCTCAAGACGTTCAATCCTACAACCAACCTAAAGGAACATGCGACACCTAAACCCAACGCTATGATCGCCGAAGCCATGGCACGCTTCTTCCGTCAACGGCGCTGCTCCGCCGCTGTCGGCACCAGCTTCATATTGCTTGCCGTCCTGACATTCTTCACGATGCACCTTCTCGGGCTAAACAGCGCAGGCCGACAGTCGCTCTTCCATCGACCGGCGACAAAGGCTTCTGAAAAGCTCCCAGATATGACGTCGTACCGTAAGGGTCTTTTCTGTCCCCACATTCACTGAGCACATCATGCAATGTTTCATCGTCACATGTCACATATTGCGAACGATAGTGCACACTGCGTCCAATAGCTTCTTCACAAGCTGTTCACCTCTTTTTTTTTTTTAGATCTTTGCCCGATTTCTCGCATTTAAACATCCAAAGCGATCTTCACAAGACTGCCAATGGATTACTGGAACACTTCATTAACGATATCCACAGAACCCTCGCAACCTCTCACAACCCAGAACAACGGCGATGAACACCAAGTTCCTATTATCCCAGAACTCGAACTTATCGACGCAGTTTACAGTCCTATAACTCTGATATCAAACCTTCCCAAGAAACATCTCCCATCTATCACCAACCCTTCACCACCGTCCAACCCCTCTTCCGATGTCACCAACAGCAAACGTCTGGTTATCATAGGCGACACGCACGGTCGTCTGACCACCCTACGATCTCTTCTGGCCAAAATCTCATTTGACAATACGACAGATCATCTCATCCTTGCTGGAGATTTAGTAACGAAAGGTCCGGATAGCAAGGGTTTGGTGCAGTTCGCTAGGGACATAGGAGCGAGTGCAGTGAGAGGCAACCATGACGACAAGGTGCTCGAAGCCGCGAAGTGGTTAAGTCGCATAAAACAGGGCAAAAAATGGCGGGGTAAGGCAGAGAACGAGGCCGATAGTGTGAGTGACGACGAAGAGGAAATTTCAGAGAAAGAGGAAGAAGCAAACGACACCCTCGACGTTGCGGGACGACAACGACGAAATAAGAAGCCTAAAGGGTTAAAGCCAGAACACATCGCCGTCGCCCGCTCCCTGAGCCCTTCTCAACTTCACTGGCTCGCCTCTCAACCCATCATCCTCCGAGTTGGACACCTTTCCGGAGCGAAGACCGCGCCATGGAACGCCAAAGAAGTGGTCGTCGTCCACGGGGGTCTCATCCCATCTCTCCCGCTAGAGAAGCAAGACCCATGGGCGGTGATGAACATGCGGAGCCTGGCTTACGAACTCGCTACCTCTTCAGCCCCTGATAACACCAGGAACGAAGACAAAAAGAAGAACGACGGAAATATTAACACCACCCACAAAGGAATAACCACCATTCCCCTCGACACCCGCGAAGGCGAACCCTGGTCCCGCGCCTGGAACCGCTACCAAAACCTGATCAGCAACGCATCCAAGCGCGTAGCCGTCGTCTACGGCCACGACGCCCGCTCCGGTCTGCAAGTCGACAAAGACATCACCATCAACCTAGGCAAGAGCCCAATCCCAATCAGCGCCCGCCAGATCACCGGAACAGGCGACCAAACAGTCAACGTGAACGCCGGAAGAGACGTGGAGATCGAAATCGAGACGGAAGTAGAGATTGAATCGGAGTCCGAGGTGAAGAGATCATCAGACGGAGGAAACGGAGTGGAAGCTGAAAGGAGGAAGAAGAAGCCGAAGAAGTTCAAGGGAACTCGATATGCGTACGGTCTCGACTCGGGCTGCGGACATGGGAGGCAATTGTCTGCGCTGGTGTTGGAAGTCAATGAGAGCGGGGATGATATTGTTCATCGGATTGAGCAGGTCGAGTGTGAGTGAACACGGATCGGAACAGGGACAGAATGGCCACTGGGTAAAGGTTAGGGGAATAACGAACGGATCTGCGATGGTATTTACATTCGAGAACTGGCAAATATTGCACATTTCGTCTATGCCACATTCGATACTGGCGTTAGCTTTGGCGTTCGGGTTAAGCTATGATACAAGAAGGTGGATTGTACTATACGTTCACGGGCCTTGAGGGAAGAATAGTCGGGACGACCATGCGGTCAAGGGTAAACAAGATTTTCTACAACGAGAGAGATCATAGAAAACAAAACCATATGTATCCAGGATCAAACAATTTCTACTCTTCTCTTATCGCGTGAATCCGGAGCAAAGGTGGTCAGGTAGGTGTGTAACTTGAAATCAGCGAAATGTCTATAACCCTAACCCTACCCATCTTCCTTCACTGGGCTATCGAGTCTACACAATAAAACCCGCGGGGTCACAGGCTCACAGCGGACTTCCCCCCACAGTTGGAGAAAGACATGCGCTGGGATGTATCCGATTGCTCAAAGAACATGGGCTCTTGCTGAACTAAGCAGCCGATTTCCCCTCCATCGATCCCCTCGGACGACGTGTTTTGTAACTGAATTTCATCTAAACATGTGACCTTCCTAACATCGCCTGGCGAACTACGGCCCGTTCTCATACTCGATCGTCGCCGGTATTGTTCAAAGTTGTTTTACTTCATCCAGCCGTCTGCTATCTTTGCCATCGGACTCTAGCATCTCGGCGTCATCGCTTATCACTCAAAGTCAAACAGAGTTTCGCCCCCGCACACAGGAACCATGAGCAGCAGCCCGATAACACAGCCGCCCGTGGCTCCGGGAACGACAGCTACCAGGGGAGATGACGAAAGCGACGCCGCGTTTGAGAGCTCCCATGAAAGCCCACCCGGGAATGCGGAAAGTGGTGGATCTTATGCAGAGCACCAGGACCAAGGGGACTCGGACGACGACGGATATGTGTATCACCCGGCGCAGGAACATGCAGACGTAACGGGGAACGACGACGACGATGAAGAGGAGGATTACGATGATGAGGACGAACACGATGACGAAGACGATGAAGACGACCAGGACTATTTCGATGGTAGTGGTGGTCTTGAGTTTGAGTTGGTTATTGACGAACTAGCACCGGGCGCCCATGATGATGAAGATGACGACGATGATGATCCCAATGAGCCTGGAAATGCACTTCAGAGGAGGATCCTTCAGATAATACGTGGTAGGTTTTACACTCACCATGACCACTCGTTAAGCGATATCTCTCTTGAGATGACGCAAAAGAATCTGCTAACTGGTGAATTATTCGCTTTCCAGGAGGCGGCGGTCGTGCTCACCTAGGTTCGCAGCAACTGTTGGCGCTAATCCAAGGTCATAACGTGGATGACATTGACGACGATGACGACTATTGGGAACCACCTAGACGGATGAGGCCAGGTTATGTCCCTGCCTTCCCCAAAGTGCCCAGCGAGCAAGGTCGGAAGCTCATGGAATCCGGTGTTTTCGGTGCCTTCGATCTCAGAGAGCCTGATAGCAAGAAGAAAAGGCTTACTCGTCGATTACTGGATCGGGAGCTAGGCCTGGGCGATAGGACAGAGCAAAAGACCAACCTGGCTCTTATGGCTCAACAGATGATTCCCTCATCGAAGCCGGAGATGGTCATTCACTACGACGATCCTGTGTGCTGCGGCCAGTTCTCCGATGACGGCAACTTCTTCTACGCCTGTGGCAAGGACTTCAAAGTACGCATGTACGACACTTCCAACCCTTACAACTGGACGCACTACAAGACTGTCCGATACCCCTTTGGTCAATGGACTCTCACGGATGCAGACCTCAGTCCAGACAACAAGTGGCTTGCCTATACATCTCTAACAAGCCAAGTTTGCTTCGCCCCTACGGATCCCAATGACACAGGTGACCCTTATACGCTTGATCTTGCTGGAGGAATGGTACGTCAAGGCTGGCGAGATGCGTTTCCTATCTTCTCCATCCGTTTCTCAGGCGACGGACGAACACTTGTGGCCGGCACAGGTGCCGACTCGATAGTCGTTTACGACATAGAGCGCCGAGAGCCTCTTTACAACGTGGAGGGCCACGATAACGACGTGAACGCCGTTTGCTTCGCCGACAAGCAATCCCCACACATTCTCTACTCCGGATCGGACGACTGCACCATCAAAGTATGGGACACCCGAAGCATGTCTTCACGTCGTGAAGCGGGCGCCTTCGTCGGCCACATGGAAGGCCTAACATACATCGACAGCAAGGGCGATGGACGCTACATCCTCAGCAACGGCAAGGACCAGTCCATGAAGCTGTGGGATCTTCGCATGGCCATGTCCACAGCCGACGTGGAAAGGCTTGACGCCACCAAACCCACCGCCAGACGCCGCTACCAGTACGATTACCGCTTTGCAGAATATCACGATTACATGTGGCAGCCGCACCCGCATGATAACTCGCTGGTCACGTTCAGGGGTCACAAAGTGCAGAGGACACTGATCCGGTGCCACTTCTCGCCTCCTGGTAGCACTAACTCGCGCTATGTCTACTCGGGCTCGTACGATGGGTTTGTTTATGTCTGGAACCTGGATGCAACTATTGCCGCGAAGATCGACGTCAAGAGCGTGACTGAGGGGCTGAGGATACCTGGGTATACTCCGGCGGCGAGAAGGAGAGAGTGGATGACGCTGGTCAGAGATGTGGGCTGGCATCCTAATGCGCCATTGCTTGTTGGTGAGTTATCTTGAACTTTTTTTCTCTTTTGTATACCCCGTCCTTCAGAATACTTGTCTAACATGCCATCTTAGCGTCGTCATGGAATGGACCGACTATGAATGCTGGAACGGCGACCTTGCACTCTTACAACGAGAATGATGTAGATGAAGCCGAGCCGGGGATGGGTTTATCGGTCAACGAGAAGATACAACCGGACGAGGGCCTCTTTAACTGGCGTGGGTTGAGAGGGTTTATGGATGATGACGATGATGACTTCTTCTGATTAAGACTGGGACTTGGGCGTTGGGGGTCATCATGTACAACACTTTGCCTATTTTCGAAATGAAACAGGACCCAGGGTACCAGGTAATTGGGCTGATGGAATCCTAGGCAGTATTTACAGACAGACAAAGATGAGCTATCGTCCTGAAAGAGCTCTCCCGAGTGTATTCACCATGGTATCGACAAGGAATATCCTAAGCAAACCCTAACCCATATTTCTCACACCTGCCAGGTGGTTGTCGGCTGACAGCAGGCTTACGCACGGTTCAGTCCCGCAACCAGTGGATGTGCCTGCCGGGAGCAAACTGGCACCGGGAAAGCCCAGACCACGCCCAGCCATTGGCGCAGCGTGCCCTGCCATTGCCGGAGAGGTCCTCTCTTTGTGAGTGCCATCGCGTGCAGCCCGAGGCCCAGAGGTACCTGCCAGGCTGTGTACCGTGTTTGTCAATGCCAGAGGCATAAGCAAGGCGAGGCGCTGCAAAGCAAGCTGTGGGTGCAAATGTATAATATATTCCATAAAATATAATATAATACAAGGGTACGCTAGGTATCGGCTACATATAGCCTACAGGATACAGGGTACGCCTACCGCAAGCTCTAACAGTACCTCCCAAAAAGGAAAAAAAGTGACGTCCTCGTCGTAAAAACTACATCGTAGAAAAGAAGAGCCCTAAAGACAATAAAAAAAACACTAGAGATAGTATTCCTAATACCCTATAACCGATATATACCGTTTAAAATAAAACTATCCCTTTCCATCCTCTATATCCACTTCCTAAGCCTCCAAATGCCACCAAGTATCTCTTCTTCTTCTTTTTCTTCTTCTGTCGGACGAATCGTTCAACGACAGGATTGTGGGATTAAATTGGTAGTAAATAGTATTGAATTAGACTACTATCATCGAGGAGAATCGTAAGGTTAAATTGGTAGTAAACAATACTAAATCAAATTACTATCATCGAAGAGAGGGTTATCATTAGTCTTAATAATAAAATTAGACGAATCGTTCAACGCGGAGTAAATAAGGTTCCTAAAACAAACAACTAAGGAAATCAATAGTATTAATTTTAATGATACCTAAAGCAGGTTAATCGTAAAGTTAGTTAACAACGCTAAATCAAACTACTGTAATCGAAGAAATAAAGGTTTGATGGCGTTAAATCAATTACCGAAATAATAGCGGACAACGCTAAATTAGACTACTATAACCGAGATAAAGGTTCAACGGCGTTAAATCAACTGCCGAAAATACCAAAGAAAACAAACTACTAAGACTATCAAAATGACATGGTGATGATAAGGTTATCAATTCTTGTATGGGCACCAATATCAATACCAGAGGCATAAGCAAGGCGAGGCGCTACAAAGCAAGCTGTGGGTGCAAATATGTAATGTATTCTGTAGAGTATAATGTAATGCAAGGGTGCGCCAGTTATCGGCTACATATAGCCTACAGGATACAGGGTGCGCCTACCGCAAGCTCTAACAGTGTTGGACCAAAGCCCCGTCCACTGCATGCCGCGAAGCTCCCCGTTCAACAGGGCACTTTTTTCTCCCGTGCACCATCTTTCCCCTTCAACTGAAACCTTTCTCTTCCATTCGATCCGACAACAACAGGCGACCAAATCGTGTACTCCACACAGCACCGAAAAGCTCCAAAGCAATCTCTATCGCAAGGCGGTTCGACTCGCTCTGCCCACCAGTGGATTCAAGATCCGTCAGTCACAGTCTCGGCCCAGCTCCAACGCCTGTTTGCCCCGTAGAGACGCAGCGACCGACGCGGGGAGAAACCCAAGCCAGTCGATCACTTTGGCTCGACCTCGCCCCAATCGACGACCCTTTGTCAACCCGTCCGGCTCCCTCAGCATATTCGGTTGCCCGCTCTCATCCAGCACCGACCAGACCCGAAGTCTAGCTATCAGCCAGACGTCACTTTGTCATTAACTCAGTTACAGATCTCTATCACCATCCATCCGGCTATCTCCCGTTCCTCTGGTCTCCTTGTCTCCAGCCGACCAGCACACTACAAACTGGACCAGAGCAAGGTACTGCGAGTTGTCGCGTCCCATAGCGTTGCGCGAGTCAAGCACGGGAAGCGTCTCTGGGGAACTGTCATAATCTGAAGGAGGAAGTTGAGACCTGCTCGGGATACAAGAAGAGAAAAGGAAGAAAAACAAGCCAAAGAACAACGCAAGACTGCAAGCACAGAGCTTCCGTCTTAAACAAACAATCTCTTTTACCGAGGCCATCCTCTCCTGTCTTCTGAAACTTTAACAGCTTCCGTCGTCATTGGGGATCGGAATGTACGTACTCACAAACTCTACCTTTTCTGTCTTTCCTTCCTCTCCCTATCTTTTTTCCTTTGGTTGTTATTGCTTTCTTCGTCATGGCCGCTTTTCCTTTTCGTAACGCGTTCGTTATTGCGTACCATCGTCTTTGCCTTTCTCCAACGCTCAGTCAGAGATCGGATGGGTATCGGCTTCATCACTATTCTTTCAGAACTCTACTTTGTCAGCTACTGATTCGGGGATCTCGCACTACAGACAATCTTGTACTTCTGATCAATAGCCAGGTTCTTAATTCAGACTTGCTTTCCAGAGAGACAGCACATAACTCGTTGACCTGAACACTCAGGCACCCACGTCTCACAACCTAGTCACTTGTCTGTCAAGGACCAGTCGTATTCACAATGGCCGAGGAGGAATTCGAGATCGACGTCTATGCCGATGCTGGCAATGACCAGTCCGGCGAGCAGCAGGGTGATGGTGATCACCACGCCTACGATGACAATGGCAACCATGCCGAGAACGGTGACGGACAGCACCAGGATTATCATGAGGACCACCATGGAGAGGATTCCGGCGCACATGACAACCACAACCAGACATCACAGAACCAAGCGCCCCAGCAGCGACAGCAAGGTGTAAAGCGCAAGGACGCCCCTGGTTCCGATGAGCGACCCGTCGATCCGGGCGCTACCACCGCCCTTATGATCTCGGATCTCCACTGGTGGACTACGGACGACGATATCCGCGGCTGGGTGTGCCAGGCGAACTGCGAGTCTGAGCTGAAGGATATCACGTTTAGTGAACACAAGGTCAACGGCAAGAGCAAGGGGTATGTGAAACTGCCCGCGAGTGTTATATCAGGAATATGCCTGCTAACTGTATCCTTTAGACAAGCCTACGTTGAATTCACTTCCCAGCAAGCCGCGAGCGCAACTAAGCATGTGATTGATAACTTGTCGAGCGAGATCGGCCAGCAACCTGGCCAGAAACGCCACTCCGTGATTTACTCCAGCCCGGTTGTCAACCCCTTCCGCACGCTTCCTAAGGACACCCCGAACCGTGCTGTCAAGGAGATCCGTGACCGTGCTCCCAACGGGCCCAACAACTTCGACAACCGCGGTCAGAGCAACTTCGTCCCGAACAACAACTTTAGCGGTGGTTTCCGTGGCGGCCGTGGCGGTTTCAACGGTCCTCGTGGCGGCATGAACCCGAACTTCAACCGCAACTTCCAGGGCAACAACATAGCCTTCAACAACAACAACGCCGGCTTCAACAACCCCATGGCCGGCACTGGCTATGGCGGCGGCTTTGGCGGAGGTGGTTACCAGCGCGGCGGTATGATGGGCAACAACATGCGTGGCGGCCCTAACATGCGCGGCCGTGGTGGAATGAACAACAACATGATGGGAGGCATGCCTATGCCCATGCACGGCATGAACCCCATGGCTGGTGGTATGAACCCAGGTATGGGTATGATGAACCCAGGTATGGGAGGTAAGTCGCAATGATTAGTCCGGCTGTGTTTGTCATATCTATAATACTCACATACTTTTGATAATACAGGCTTCCCAGGAATGCAGCCCTTCAATGCAGGCTTCTTTAACGCCGGTAGCCAGTCGGAAGGCTGGGGACAGAACGCGCATCCGGCCAAGCGCCCTCGCCAGGAGTAGAGCAACCAGCAGGGCAGCCGCGGCTATAAGACGGAAAACATGCGCTTCTAGGAAGGAGACGACACCGAGTTCCCGTACCACGGAAATACTACGGCGACTATCAAGTCTGAATAACTTCATATTACTGGGCAACAAACCTCATCGGTTACAATCGGATAGCCGTCAACGAATCCCGGCTAAAAGCAGGCTCAGCAAGGACCTCCTTCCCACCTCGATTGGGTTCGTCTGTGCTATCCTCTTCTGTTTCGATAACGTTTGAAAGAAATGATATGGAAATGGTCAAGATTGCCCGAATTTATTTTCAGTATGGCACTTTCGCAACACACATATGCCCGTGGTTATGTTTGGTGTTTGGTACAGCGATGACTTTAGGAGGATGCCAGCGTGGGGGTCTTATGGTCCCGGTTTCCATCACACAGCATTTGACCTTTGGACACTCGACTATGCCATGCACCTGCTACTATGTGTGCCTCTATGGCAATACAGAGACTGGCGGAATCGACTGAATGGACCAGCACCACTGTCTTGGGCTAAAGTATCCTGGGCGTACGACCAAGCCCGATCCTTCTCGAAGGCGTACATCTGGTTACCATTCTGAACGGCGAGAGCTGGTAGACCGAAGGAACGACTGTCAACCATCCACCCACGGATAGCTTCGTCAACTGGATTACCCGACTGTTTTCGGACTACCAGATGCAACTCGAACGACTAACAGTGGTACTCGCTGAGTCAGTCAGTCGACGATAGCGTTTCGATCTGTTTTCCCTTTGGGTTCGGTTTTCTTTTCAGTTTCTTTTTGTTCCTTTCTCCAGTCGGGTCCTTTTTGTTTGGTATGGAAAGGGTACGGATTCACTTCGCTTTATTTTCATTTTTTTCAGGGAAATCAAGGAGGGAAGAAAATGCGTCGAATGCAATAGATTTTAGGAAACGGCGAACACAACAAACATGGCTGGATGGATCAAAGGGTGGATTGACGGAGCAGTGGTGAGAGAGTTGCGTATTAGTTGTTGAGCAAAGTAGAGAATACGTGAGAATCAAGTTTTATGGGATGTCTCTCTTTTAAAAGTTCTTCTGGCGGTTTAGCATTCTCATTGAATGGCGTTTTGTGCGAGAGTGAGAGTAAGGTGACTGATTATGATGGCGTCTATGTGAAAGCGGCTTGATTGCTACAGTTGACGATGATGATGTTGATGTCGATACCTCATACCCCCTTCCCCGGTTTGACCAAGATGGCGTTGAGGTGGTGTCTGGATGGTTTGGTTCTCCTTTCCTCGGTTTCTGGGGCGGATGTTTGCTTGCTTGATATGATACCCGTCTCCTGTTTGTCTGGGTGCTTGGATGAGCCGCACTCGGCTTGGCATAAGTGCCCCATTTTCCAGAAATCTTCATGGAAACCAGAGGAAAGAAGTGACGTCTTGTATAAACTACTATATATCGACCATTTCTTGAATAACTCCTTTGAAATCATCTTAAAGCTGAAGTTCTGAACCATCGAAGTCAACGTCAGGGGCTCAATGTGGGTCCTTCCACGGGCAGAACGACCGGCTATTGGCTGACGTATCCTTTAACGGCAGCCTCCAAGAGCTGCACCCGACAGCGACCTTGACACCGTCAACCTACAGCTAGAGGTACTTCTTTAGGTGCTGTATTTATAGGGCGTAACTGAGGTACCAGCTGCTACACCAATACGTCAGCGGGAACAACGTGTACCTCGAGTTTTCAACCTCAACCTCAACCTTCACACTTTCTACATCCCGTCATTCATCTCAATTCCCATTACAGTTTCCTCATTACTTCATTTAACTCTGGGATTTCGAGTCTGGATCACGCAATTAGTCGATTCGGAATTACATATAGCTGTGGATCATAACAGGTTATTCGACCAGTCGCGGAAACCGATCGACCCAGCCAGCTATCCAACCATCATTCTCCCACCTTGCAATCGAGCTACCCAGACGACAGAAAAGACAACATGTTCTTCACAGGCACTCTCCAAGAAGGCATCGCTGCGGCTATCCAACAGACCAAAAGTCTGGTCTGTTTTGTTACAGGTTCGTTATCACCCGTCGTTTCCTCATTCCCGCACTTGTATTGCTGCCGGGTTGCCGGGCTGTGCATATCCCTTCACGTCAATCTCTCATAATATTCATCTTCGACATTGTCGTCATTATACATTATATCGGACCCTGTCTCTGTGTTAACCAACCAAATACTGACCTTATCCAGACGACAACACTGAATCCCAACAATGGGAAACCGAGTTCCTCAATGATGAAGCCATCTCCCCTCTCATTGAGTCCAGTGCCGTGGTGCTGAAGTTGGTCGCGGGCAGTACTGAGGAGGGATACTTGGCTCAGTTGTTCCCGGTGCCGAAGAAGCCTACTGTGGTTGTCCTTAGGTGAGCTACTTGTGGCTTACGATGAAGGAGGAAATGACGTGTTGCTAACGATGAGATAGGGGCGGGCAGCTCAAGGAGTACATTGCTGCTGGAGTCACGAAGGAGGAATTCGTGAGGAGGCTGAGAGCTGCTCTTGGGGAGCAACAGGCGGTTTCTACAGGTGCTACTCCAGGTTCGGCCTCAGTTCAGGAATCTCAGTCAGAACAGGGACAAGAGCAGGCATCATCGGCAGCGGCACCATCAGAGCCAGCACCTCAACCATCAGCGGAACAGACAACTGCCCCGGCTACATCATCTATCGAGGCTTCAACTTCTCAACAACCTCCCACCAATACCACTACGACCACCGAGCCTACAACCGCCTCCTCATCATCCCCAGCCACAACAACCCCCACCACCACCAACACAACCCAACAAGCCCAAATCCAAGCCATCCTCACCGAGCGCGCCGCCCGCCTCGCCGCCCAAAAGAAACAACAAGAAGAATCCGCCCGCGCCGCCGCCCGCGCCCGAGCCGCAGCCGAAGACCCCAACTCCCCCGCCCGCCAAGCCGCCGACGCCCTCCGCAAGAAACAGCAAGAAGCGCGCGAAGAGCGGCAGCGGATTCTCAAGGCCATCGAGGACGACAAAGCTGCTCGCAGAGCAAGGCAGTCGGAGAAGCAGTCGGAGAAGCAGCGGGAGAAGGATAAGGGGAAGGGGAAGGAAGAGGGATTGCCCTTCGCACCAGCTAGTCCGTTGTTACCCCGTGGTAACCAGCCAGTCCAAAGCACGGGACATTGTGCGTTGCAAGTGAGATTGACGGATGGGTCGACTATTAGATCTCGGTTCTTGACGGAGAAGGATACGGTTAGGGAGGTTAGGGAGTGGGTTGAGGCTACTGTCCCTTCTAATGATTCGGTGAAGAAGGGGAGGTATAGCTTCAAGGTGCTGTTGACGCCTCAGCCCAGCAGGAGGATTGAGCAAGAGGAGGAGGGGAAGACGCTCGGGGAGCTGGGGCTGGCGCCGAGCTCGACGCTGATTTTGGTTCCGACTGCTGGCGGATCGGGGAGCAGCGGCGTGAGGGTAAGCTTTGCGGCGGCTCAGGGAGGTGAGGGAGGAGGAAATATCTTCCAGCGCTTGATTGGGTTCTTGGTTGCCTTTTTCAACACGGTGGTGGCTTTCTTTTCGACGCTGTTCAGTGTCTCGGGCCCGCCCAATGCTGGTCCTACGCCGGAGCAGGTGGCTGCTGAGGTTAGGGGCGAGCAGCAAGCTGCCTCTAGGGCGGAGGGGGCTAGTGGGAGGTCACTTGGTGGAGGTGGTGCGGGTGCTGCTGTGAATAGGGGCACGGGAAGCAGGATCAAGGGATTTGGTGATGAGAGGAGGGATGAGGAGCGGAAGAGGAACGATCAACAGTTTTATAATGGGAACTCGGTAAGTACGCCCTTTTCTTTTGGCTTCTTGGAGATGAGAGGGCAGCAGCTGACAGAAAGCAGACAAACTTTGAGCCTAGACATGATGATGATGAGAACTAAAGCCAGCACTGCGCTGATGCCAGAAGAGAGAAAGACATTTTCCCGCTACTCCAGTAGATTCTAAACGAGAAGAAGGAAGAAGGCACATCCATACTGTAGTCACCATTAGACAAAGCGAAGAAAATGAAAAGAGGCTTGATCCCTCCTGAGAGGGAGGCAGAGATCTTGTATTTTTACAATTGTTTTTTTTTTTTTTTTTTCGTCTTGTAAATGCTATTGATGTATCACCACCGTAGACCAATTCCCGAACTCCAATGCTGATATCTTGTTGGTATATGCTGCGTAAAAAACCCTCTGCGAGCTTCTTCGAGAGGATGACGAGAAACGTAAAAATTGAGCGGCGTTTCCGGGACGACAAAAAAGGGCCACGTAAAACTTCCACCCCAAAACTAATCATACACATCCTCTCTATCCTCCTCCTCACTCATTCTAATCCAACAACAGCAACCTCCTCTTCAAGCCATATAAGAACGAGAAGAAGAAAGAAGCTTAGTACTGGCTAGCAGCAGCCTGGCAAGCCTTAAGCTGTTCCAGGTACCAGCCGCAGATCTGCATGTTGCCATTCTGCTGATCCATGCACTGGGTGAAGCTCTTGGTCGCCTCGGAGCAGTTGTTGCCCCACGACGAGTTCTGGGCAGCGGCGGCCTGGGCCTGGACGGGCGCGGCGGCCTCGGGGGCAGCGGAGGAACCGCCGCCGGAGAACATGCCGCCAATGGCGTGGCCGATGGAGGAGCCGATGGCGACACCACTGTTTGTTTATAGTCTGTTAGTATATGTATATGGGTTTCCGATGGAATCCAGAAGCGGAGGGGAGGGGCACGGAGATGGGATGGGGAGGAAAGGCAAGGTCAAACATACGCAGCAGTGCTAGCCATCTGACCAAAGAGACCAGGGCCCTGAGAGACGGGCGCAGCGGCAGCGGGAGGAGCGTGGGGAGCGGCGGTGGGAGGAGCGTAGGTGGAAGCAGGGCGCTGCTGCTGCTGGTTGGTAGGAGCCATGGGCTTGCGCGCGGGGACGGAAGGGCGGGCGGAACCACGGCTTTGGCGAGGCATTTTGGCTTGTTGTTGTGGTGGTTGGGTTGCGTAGATTAAAGCGACCGACGTTTTGGCGGTTTTGAAGTTTAGTGAGTGAGTGTGGTTGTGGTGATGGATGATGGGATGGGGAAATGGAATGAGATGGGATTAAGCAGCAATGATATAAAAAGGTACTATCGGCAAAAGACCAGTGGGGAATGATCAACCGGGCGACATTTTGCCATCCATCATTTGTTGCGACCCGCGGGATCTCCAATTGCGACTGCGCCCGCTCGCCCTCCCCCTCCGCGCCGGCCGAGGCCCTGAAAGCCGAGACAACAGCTCGGAGCTTGGACCCCTGTTTTCCCCTGTCAAACGTCTTTTTGGGAGGGGTTTGGGGCTCTTTTTGCTCTTTTTGGGCGGTCTTGTGCTGAACTGGAAGCCAATCGAAGGCGAGAGAGCATGTTGTTGAGGCTTGTAGGGCGCGTGACCATGGATAGAGGGTTAGGGTTGTGGCAGTTTGTTTAAATTCTTCAGGGGTTTCGATGATCAACTGCTCAGTTCTATGGAGATAGTTGGGTTCGTGAATTTGAAATTGTGTATCCGTGACTCATTTACATCCGGTGTCTAACTCTTCCCCGTGTTTACCTCGAATCGGTTGCCTCTACCAAGAGGCGGATCCTGATGTTTCCGGGCTCGTGAATTCCCCTTCTCAAAAACTAGCAACGCAGTGTCCCGCCACATCGATGCTGGGACATTATCCAGTCATGGTTTCATGTTCGAAACTCCAGCTGGTGGGTATCTCAAGTGGCTAACACAAAAATCCGGTGGCCGCGGGTCTGGTTCCGGGCAAACGATTTCCGGCTTGTGTTCGTGTTGGCCTTTCCGCGGCCTCGCGAAGCGCAAAAGAACAACGCACGGCATGCCTCATGTATCGGGCCTCTTCACGCGAAGCCTGGAGCGCCATGCCCAAACTTGGCGCCGTGGTCATGGTTGCCGCACAATAACTCAACTAAGAGCGTAGTGTACGCAACTCTCACTTCTTCTTGTTTCCCTTGGTCTTGGGTCGCTTGGCAATGGGCTCGGAGCTCGAATCTGCTGCTCGCTTCTTCTCCTCCTTGGCCTCTGCCTTGGCCTTCTCTTTGGCGATCAGCTCTGTCAACTTCTGCTTGATAGCTTCATCATCGGCCTGTACACCTGTTAGCGTGTTACCCAACAGCGAAATCCGTGGTGAAACCCCATACCAGGTCAGATCTGATGAAGCGGGCAGCGGCCTCCTTGTTGACCGTCTGCTCACGCTCCTGGGGCGGGTTCTCAATATTCTGGATCTTCTCAAAATATTGCCTGACGCGGGTCAACTCTGTGAAAATGGCATGCTCTTTGGCATCAACACCGTTCAGACGTAGTGAGGCTGTTCTCAGGTTAGCAACAGGTTACTTCCAGTATTAACGTGCTAGACTTGACTTACAGAAGAGAATCGACTCAATGGCATAAGTCACCATAACGTAGAGCTTGGCCTTGTCCAAAAGAGGCAACTTGGAAGATACATCACCGACATCACCGAGAACGGGCTTCAGAGCGGCCTCTAGCTGGTCGAGGTCGACATTGAGCTTCTCCAGCGAGGGGGTGATGTCGGGCACGTCCATGTCTAAAGTCGTATGAGTTGAATGATACTTTTGGGTTTAGAGTCTGTGATTGAGGGGAGGACGATTTCAATATTAAAATCCAGATGCGATGAGGCGGCGGTTTGTTGACATTGATGGTGTTTTGATGAACAAAGATGCGAATCTGAATGCAAGTGAGGAAAGCGGCCCCACACAGTTGCGAACCGTTCAAGTTGCACTTTTTTGGTTCCAGATTTGGGATCCACCTGCTGCGACAAGCCTTCCACAGTGCGGTGCCAAGACCATGCTATGGCCGAGCAAGCCAATCAGAAGTGATCAGTTTCTCTTCCACGGCCGATTAGCGTGACAGTGCATCAACCGCGGGCGCGCTCCCGAGAAAAAAAAAGTTTGGCGGCCATTGAACTTTTGATCGGAAAGTGTCTTAACAAAATCATCGTCATCCGGCAACCGAATTCAGCTAGTCTTTATACCGCAAACCACCACCACCACCACCTCGACAACACCACCACCACCCCGAATTCCCTCCCAGGCTACCCGCTTCGCCCTTCTCGCCCCTGGTCCCTCCCCGGTCCTCAATGCTCCCGCGCGGGACATAAATCCTGACAGGACCTCTTGCGACAGGTCCTCCGGCGGGGTTTCTGCACCACCACGATAATACCATATCATGAGCTCCCGGTGTCGTCCGTGAAAGCCGCCAACCTGTATTCCTTTACCGGCAGTCGACCGCACTTGCGGGTGTTTGGGCGAATACCCTGCAGGCACACACGATGGTGTCCCAGTAACACCTCGGTGGGCCGGGGGGCCAGCGCAAGCGGTTTCCGTTCCATCCAGCCTGAGGTTCAGAGTCGGCCCTTTGTCGCTTCGTACCCTCCCCTCCGCCACGTCCTCTCCCGAGGCAACCACGTGCAAGTTCCGCCGTACCCTCAGCAGCAAACACGACAGGCCTCTTCAAAGGCAGACTCCCGCTCAGCTACACTGTCGGCTACGCCGGATGCGCCGCTCCTCAAGAACTCCGATGCGCATGTCCCAACAGAAACCGAGTCGAAACCAGTTGTGAATGGTGGGAGTGAAGCAGAAGCCGCCAAGGAACGGTACCGAAACCCGACTAAGGAGTTCTTCGATCGGCTAAATGAGGCGGAATTGGATGAGCAAAAATTGGCACAGACGATCCGAAGAGAGGGCGAGAAGAAGCCATGGACTGATCTGTTCAAACCGTCGGACCTGATTCACGTTATGGGCCTCAATATCCAAGGACGATACGTTACACACACGCTGGCCGGTGCCGAGACAATACCACCGCCGATTTTCATGATCAACCGATGGAATTTAGTTAAGAGGTGGGAGAAGGCGGGAAAGTGCTTGAAGCTTCACAGGCAAAAGGAAGTCATCGTCCGCGACAGGATCAAGGCCCAGTTCACACCGCCAACCCACGGCTATGATCCGCGGAAGCAGAAGGACGAACACATCAGCAACCTGATAGTGACTGTTCCAGCCGGGCATACTGTCGAAGCACTCGGCCAGATTAAGCACCGGCTTGACCACAACTCGACCATTGTTCTAATTCACGAGGGACTGGGCGTCGCCGAGGCTATCTGCAAAGCCTACTTTCCCATCGAAAGCCAGCGGCCGGTGTTTATCCTTGGCCACATGACAACTGGTTTGGGGTTGGGCGATGAAACGTTTGAGTTTGGTGAGGTGCGACCTGGGAGGCTCTTCCTGACCGTCTACACCCCTCAGTCAGACAATATTGGTCCGGTCGCGCCCATTGTGATCAAGAAGCACCCGCCCACCTTGTACCAGCGGAGGGGGTCGCATCTGATCAAGCTTCTCACGTCAATTCCGGACCTCAATGCTACCGGTCACCGAACGGACGACTTCTTGCAGCTGAAGCTACCAGCGGTGGCGTTCCGAGCGGTAGCTGATCCTCTGGCGACTATTCTGGATTCCACCTACGATAAAATTCCCGAAAACCCACACGCTCGTCAGCTCATGGATAAGCTGCTTTCCGAGGTTGCCGATGTGGTTTCTCACTTGCCTGAGCTAAAGGGCTTGGAGCAGTTTCGCGTCGCCAATGCCCTTCCATACATGCGTTCGGAAGTGTTCCACAGGTTGAAGAGGAAGGGAACTTCTGACAGCCCCATGCGCAGGTTGACTGCCAGGGGTCTGGACACTGATATTGGATATGTGACGGGCTATTTCGTCATGCGCGGCAAGACGTTGGGCCTTTCGGTTAACGCTCTTGACAGTATCTGGTCAGCCGTCAAGGCAAAGCAGAAGGTTTTGGCAGAGAGGAGGCAGAGGGAGGTTCCGTTTGAGGTCCCGTATCAGCCGAAACTTGTTCCTCATGTCCCAGAGCCGTATACCCATTATCCTGACAGGCTCTGGCCTGAGCCTCTGAGGAACATTCTCAACAAGATCAGGTGATGTATAGATCATGGGTGAATCATGAATATTTATTGCATACATAGACGGATAAACAAAATCATGGCGATAAAAGGTCTTTCGGAGGAGGTGGTTGTTTTTGGAGACGGATCATCCTGTACATACCTATCTGTATTTTTAGTTTTGCATATGAATAGCCTGGCATTTGTGCATATCCGGTCCAACATTGTTTATATGTGTATCCTTTTCTTGTCAGTGGCCATGTTGACTCCTTTTGGGTGTAACATTTCTTCTGGAGGCAAAGATGCCTCCAGCAACCAGCTGCTACTGTGTAAACAAATACCGTTGTTATACCCCTATTGTGACCCCTGATCGGATCCGCTACCTACGTAACTTATCGCTACACCTGCCCCACCAAAAACTTCCCTCAAGACCCCAAGCAACCCCGCGATCACCGTGCTCTCATCTGTTTATCATCGCAACAACCTGAACTTCCTACAGCAACCAAGCTCTTCTACCGCACTGCGAACACACGAGAATCTCTCCTTATACCATTAGCCTAGTCGCCAACCTACCGCGAATCCAACCAACTCATCAAAAATGGACGACTCCGAGCTCGAGAAGGTGCGCATCACATCACCCTTTACCGCCAGCCAGCAGCGCAGCGCAGCTTCGCCTGTGGTAGCATCGACAGACATCCATGGATGCGGCGCACGAATGACACCTTGATGGCTACGTACCGTAACCAGACCCTCCACACTAAAATTTTGACTCTTGAAACAGATCAGAAAGGCCCGCCTTGAACAGCTCAAGGCGCAAGGCGGCGGCGGCGGCGGTCCCAAGGCCGGCGGTCCATCTGGCGCCGGTGGTCAAGGTGGTCAGGAAGCTTCTAGACAGTATGTCATTCCCTCCCTCCCCTCCCCTTCCCTCCATCCTTCTCCCATTCGCATTCTCTCCTCTTTCCCTTCTTCCCTACCCCCTTACATACCAACAACTCACTAACCACTCCTTTTTGGTTCAAACAGACAAGAAGCCGAAGCCCGCAAAGCCATGCTCAACCAGATCCTCATGCCCGAAGCCGCCGACCGGCTGGGCCGCATCCGGCTCGTCAAGGAGGAGCGCGCGACCGACATCGAGAACCGGCTGATGATGCTGGCGCAGACGGGCCAGCTGCGCTCGAAAGTCACGGAGGAGCAGCTCAAGGAGCTGCTGAACGCCGTGGCGGACAACAAGGAGGCGGAGAAGATTGTGGTGACGAGGAGGAAGGGGTGGGGGTTGGATGATGATGATGATGATTTGTTTGATTTGTAGGGGGTGGAAGTTCCCAGAGGTTGGGAGGTGGTTATTGCGGGTTTGAAGCTGAAGCAAAGGGGTAGCTGCCTCTGGAATGAGGGAGAGATCAGGAAGGTTTACGGTCCTAACGGATTTTTAATGGCATTATTGGTTTGTTATGAATGACAAAAAGGACGGTAGTCCAAGTCCAACTCCGGGAACATGAAAGTGGTGGAGTGAAAGGGGCGTGGTAACGATGTCCCTGGGAGTACGAATACAGTACGTTCTACATTAGTTTCATAAGGGGGACGAGTCCGTCCCCCCATCATGCAACAAGATCCGTCTATACTCTCATAGACGAAGACCCAACAACCTCCCCAACCTTCTCAACCACCTCATCCTTCATCTCCTTCACCTTCTCTGCCACCACTTCAGCCTCCTTCTCCGCTTTCTGAAGGACATCATCCTCCAGCCCGCGCCCGCTCATCATCCGCTCCATCTCCTTCCTCCTCCTTTTCTCCTCCCTCTCTCTCCTCCTAATCTCTCTCAAATCCGGCGGCGGCTCCACCCCCAACTCCCTCCTCAAATCATCCACATCCCGCTCCAACTCCTCCTCCCAAAACACATTAATCACCTCCTTCGCCCGGAGTCCGTTCTTGACCGCCCAGGGGAAGTAAATTTTCCTAAACCGCTTCTGCTCGCTCTTCTTCATCGTGAACGCCGCAAACACGCTGAACCCCGTCATCGGCAACAACGTATTCGCAAACTCGAACGCCTTCAGCGCCACCTCGCCCTCCCTGACGATCGGCAACCCGGTCAAAGCGTGGTAAAAATCGTGGCACTCGCGGTACCGCTGCATCACGTAGGCGCACTCCTCGTCGTCGATGTACCGCACCGCCGAGCGCGTGTCGGGCGAGACGCCTTCGCGGTCGAGCCAGTCGATGTAAGTCCGTCCGACGGTGTTGGGAGGCAGCGAGCGCAGGTAGGGGATGTTGAGAGACTGGGAGGTGATGCGCGGTCGCTGGCGCAGGATGCGGCGCCCCGTGGGGTGGGCGAGCATGGCGTCGCGGAGGCGGTAGATGAAGTAGGGCGTTGCGGTGGCTTCGGCGAAGGAGGCTATTAGGTCTGTTTTTGAGGGGAGATATTAGTTTTGGGGGGGGAGGAATCGGAAGATGGGGAGGGACGGACCGCCGCGCCGGGGATCGGCGAGGGAGATGAGGCCTGAGCCGACGAAGAGGCCGAGGCGCTCGAGGCGGGTGAGAGGGACATGGCCGGGGTAGTTTGGTGGTGGGCGGTTGAGGGCGGAGAATTGTCTGGTTTGTTGTGTCTGGATCGGGGTCTGTGGTGTTGATGATGTGCTGCTGATCGCGGCGCATACGGCAGGCCGGATCGCATTCTGGCTGCTGGCGCGAGCTACGAGGGCTGCGGAGCGTCTGAGGGCCGTCGCTTCCATTTCGAAACGGGATTCGAACACCTAGGAAGAAACCTTAGTGTTGAATCAGGGAATTGGATGGACGAGGAACACGCAATTCCTCCAGAGCTTGGGTGGTTGTCAAGGTGTAAGTGGTGGTTCGATCCGTCGGGTATGGAAGCCGAGCATGTACAATTGCGATAACGATAGCGATAAGAACTTACGTAGGGGCAGTAGCTCAAGGTGAGGGGAGCTTCGGCTCGGTGAGATTCGAAGGTTGCCAGCTCACCGCGGGGAGGAAAAATACCGTAAATACGTTGCACAGGGTAACGGCGTAAGTTTCACTTCTCTTCTTGACAACTGAACCACTCAAAGACCCTAAACCTCATGCAAGGGATCAACCAGTCCCGCTCGAACAATGCCCGAAGAGGAAATCATTCTTTTATTTGAGATCACTGATCAGGACTCATAGTCGCTCGAAACAGGTATGTAAGCGAACAAAAGGAACAGGTGGAAGGTTTCAGCCGGCTGCTTGACAGAGGATGCAGTGAAACCCTGGGATTTATGCCTTCGCTCTTACCCTCACTTACACGTTTTGGCTTAATACATCTCATCTCTTGTCCTTCTTTCATCCTACAACTTTCGAACTCTTTAACTGCCTCGATTACCTCCCATTTGAAATACATTTTCACAGTATCTGATCAAAATGGCGAAAAGAAAACGTGAAGCAGCAGGAAAGGAGAAGGGTAACAAGAAAAACACCCGAGAGAAAGATCAGACAAAGTTATCGAAGATGGAGGCATACGAGGAACTGCTCATATGGGCAAAAGATAAAGGTATCGTTCTCAACGGCGTCGAGCCCAGACGGATACCAGGCCGAGGAATGGGAATAGTGGCCACCAAGCCACTCAAGGTAACTCGCTTTCATCGTGTCAAACATTGGTTAAACCCAACTAACATGATTATCAGGACAACGAGACCATCTTGACAGTCCCTTCTGACACCCTCCGGACCTATGAAACTGTTCCCCCTCTCATAGCCCGTGCCCTTCCAAAGGACATCTCCATCCACGGCCTGTTAGCCGCCGATCTCGCCTTTGACCCTTCTCCGTCCGCCAAATATCGACAATGGAACGCCGTCTGTCCTATGCATGAAGATGTCTGGGACTCTTTGCCTTTGACATGGGACCACCGGCTGCGAGAGTTTCTGCCCAAACGGGCTTTGGAGTTGCTTTTGAAGCAGGAGGCCAAATTCAAGAAAGACTGGTCCATGGTCCAACAGTCTAAGCTGCTCACTCCAACGTCTGGTGAGAAGGAGGACGAGAGCTCCGAGGAGGAAGGCGGCCAACTGAACAAGACTATAACAAGAGATGACTACCTCTACGCCTGGCTTCTCGTCAACACCCGCACCTTCTACCACGAAACACCCAAAACGAAGAAGTTCAAAAAGGAAGACAGAATGGTGTTGCAACCAGTCGCAGATCTGTTCAATCACACCTCATACGACCCATCAGCCGAGGACAAGGAAGGCAACAGGGAAACCTGTTCAGTCGCCTTTTCGCCCACCGCCTTCACCATCACCACCACTCGCCCTTACACCGCCGGCGAAGAGGTCTACATCTGCTACGGCAACCACTCTAACGACTTCCTCCTCATCGAGTACGGCTTTTTCTTCGACGAAAATGTCTGGGACGAAGTCTGCATAGATGATGCCATCCGCCCTTTATTGGATCAGCACCACCAACCAAACCCAGCCCAACAACAACAACCCAAGAAGACAACCCGAAGGTTAAACGAACGAGGCAAAAAAGACCCCAAATCACAAGCCTCCGACCAACCACCAAAGTCCCCCAAACACCTCCTAGAGGAAACCGGCTTCCTAGGCAACTACAACCTCGACCCCCGCAATCCCACAGGGTGCTACCGCACACAGGTGGCTCTTCGCGCCGTTTCCGCCCTTTCAGACAACCCAGGCCCCCAAGGTGAAAAGAAGTTCCGTGCCTTCGTCGACTACGGCCAAGATCCCTGGGAGGAATCACCAGAGGAGCAAGCGAAGCTGAATGCGCTGTTGGCACAAGCGTTGAAGCAATGGAGGGGGGATGTGATTGGGAAGAAGATCTTGGAGGGGTTAAGCCAGTTGGAGTGGGGGAGGGAGGGAAAAGAAGATGAAGATGTAGTAGGGAGAGAGTGTCATAGGGATATGTTGTTGATGAGGTGGAGGCAGGTTGGGAGGATGGTTGATAGGGCTTTGGAGGAGCTTGAGTGTTGAAGATGACGGGAGGCTTTGGGGAGGAGAGGGGAGAGAGAAGACGGTTGAAGGGCATGGGCAGGAAAAAAAAAAAAAAAAAAAAAAAAAAAAAAAAAAAAAAACCAGGCGGGAAAACGGGAAAGGGTACCTATCTATTGATAGAGCAGGGGTGGAGGAAACGGGAGAAAGAGGGCAGTGCCGAGTCACAGGTCGGGGATATAGATGGGCCCCCTTCTCTATGATGTATGACTGGTCTGAAATCCTCAGTACAGCTTGTCCTGGTGGTCTTTGTGGTTGAATAGACGAAAAGTCACCGCTGTTAGCAGGCTAACACTCATACAATATGCTACTCTGAACTTTGCTGTCGATGCTGGGCCCATCACAATACCACATTCCAGATAATCACCATACCACCTCTTACTCGCCGAATTAACTTCCTTCCCCGCACTCACTCCGTCTTCTTCGCCCCCTTCACAACTTTCGGCCTATCCGGCCCAAACAACCCCATCAAGTACGCCGACCTCGTCAAGAACAAGAACATCTGCACATATGCACCCGTCAGCTTCATCACAACATAATCCCCCCCCCCAGCCTTGCAAGCCCCAGGACTCAGAAACACCAACCCCCCTTTCACCGGGGAAAAAAAAAGTCACAAAAAAAAGGAGGAAAAACTCACAGTAACCCCCAAATTTCCCCAAGTCATCGCATTCCACCCCCTCACATCCAGCGTGCCCTCCCACCCCAAGCCCTCCGCCGTGATCAACATGTGCCCCAGATCCGCCACCCATAAAGCAATCAGGTAGTTTTTGACTACCCTGATCTCGGAAGAGGAGTACAAAACACCTACCCCAACTAAGAAGGCGAGGAAGTACATGTTGCCTAGTTGTCGGGTGGTGGTGCGGCTGGCGGTGGGATAAGCGATCAGAGGTGAAGAGGATGAGAGTTGTTCGTGGGTAAACCAATCGGGGGAGAGGATGGCGGGGAGGAAGCCGGATAGTCTGGGGGAGGGTGTTAGTTGTTGTTTAGAGGGACGGATGTAAAGTACGAGGCTTACAGTGAAAGGGGCTCGAATTTTGTGAAAACGAAGCGTGGGAAGGGGGGCAGTTGGGAGGCCATTTTCAGTGTGGTCGTTTGCTGTTGTTGTTGGCGTTCGTGTTGGTGTTGGTGTTGATTGAGAGTTGAGGGTTGACAGTGAGTGAAGGTGAACGGATGCAATACAAAATGTGAAGACAAAGATGAGGTATCGTGAAAAGGTTAAATATAAAGTCGGACGCTTTTATTTACTTTCACGGTGTCAGTGTTCGTTGCACGAAACTGCCGTCGCCTCCCTTGCTGTCCATCAGGGTCCTCTTTGATTGTTGTTCAGGGTAGGCAGCAGTCAAGCCTCCAACCGAGAAGACGAGTAATACAATGGCACTTGGCATTGCTTGGCTTTGTTTTTTGAAGACGGGAAGCCTACCAGGATATCTCATCCGCTCTTAGGCGTTCTTCACTTCCGTCGCGCTGAAATAAACGTCGTATCCATTGCACATATCGGAGTCCAACTTCCCTCATCAATCTAGTGCGTTGAAAAACGACCGTGACTGGGACGCAGCGTCCGCTGAATTTCAGGTGGCAGACAGCCCAGACTTGGGTCGTCGAACTGGTTAGGGTTAGGGTTCAATCCGATAATAACCGAAGGTACCTGGCAGCTCGCATTACATATTCTAACCCCGTTGGGCAACGCCTTAAAAAGTGTTTCTCTTTCTTTTCAAATCTTTTCGGCTTTTTGAGAGAGCCGACGAAGAACAAGACAGTTACAAACAGTATTGCTTTGTTTACTGGGGCTTGTGGCGGTGCGCGCCGGTTAAACTGTTACTTCAATCGGTTCGGTACGTCACCCGAGATGACTCTTATCGGCCAACGACGTCTAGCGCGATAAGAATGCCCCGCTGATGCCCGCCAGGGAACTTTACAGTTGACGTCTCATACATATCTTTAAGCCCGTCAAGACCGACACGAACACCAACACCGAACGGTGACCGAGAACCTGCACAAGGTCTGTAACTAAGAAGCGCCTCTTGTTCATTCACTTGCCGCTTCAAAAATTTCCACTTCGACTTGTTCCGACTATTCATCAGTGCAGCCATCATTCCCTCCACAAAATTCCATCATCGCTCACGCCTCACCACATCCGACACAATGGCCAGCAACCAGGAAGACCTCCAGCGGCGGCCCGTCTATCTCTACGACATCGACACCGATATCCTGAATACGATCGCTCCCAAGTCGGATGCAGACATCACAGCCGAGCCAGTCGACGAAACCGCTAAGCAGACAACCGATACCACAGCAGCTGAGCCCACAACATCGGGGTCTCAAGCCAGCTGTTCACTATGCGGCCTCAAATTTGACAACGTCCAGGAACAACGGAGTCATTTAAAGACCGACTTTCACCATTACAACCTGAAGCAGAAACTTAACGGCCTTTCACCAGTAACCGAGGCTAAGTTCGAGGAGCTCGTCAACAATCTCGATGAAAGCATTTCAGGGTCGGATTTATCAGAGAGCGAGGATGAAGAAGAGGGGCAGGACAAGGACACGAATATGTTATCTGCCCTCCTGAAGAAACAGGCCAACATTGCAGGAAAGATGGCAAAGGAGGACGGCGATGATGGTGAGAATGACGGGGGCAAAGTGAGGACCTCAAGCGGATCGCAGCCATTGCTCTGGTTCAGCTCCCCGAAGTTGCCAGAGAACTCCTATTACAGTGTCTACAAAGCCATGTTCACCCCAGAAGAGTTGAAGAAGGAGGAAGCGATTGTGGATGCTATCAAGTCCAGGCAATTGGCACCCATCACCATGGGCAAACCGCCAAAGGACGCCAACGACATCCCACCAAATTACACCGGCAAGCACATATTCATGTGCATGATCGGCGGCGGACACTTTGCCGCCATGGTTGTCTCGCTTAACCCACGCAAGACCAAGCATGGAACCACTGGACCTCTTAACAAGGAAGCCGTCGTTCTGGTGCACAAGACCTTCCACAGATACACCACTCGTCGCAAGCAGGGTGGTTCGCAATCCGCCAACGACAATGCCAAGGGTGCCGCCCACTCAGCCGGTGCCAACCTCCGTCGATATAACGAGCAGGCTCTCGTCGAGGATGTTCGCGGGCTGCTGGCCGAATGGAAGGGACTTATCGACACATCCGATCTGCTCTTCATTCGCGCCACCGGCTTAACCAACAGGAGGACACTGTTCGGCCCCTACGATGGACAGGTCTTGCGGGCGAACGACCCCCGCATCCGTGGTTTCCCCTTCATGACCCGGAGAGCTACCCAGAACGAGCTCATGCGCGCCTTCATTGAACTTACCAGGCTTAAAGTACGACAGATTGTCCCCGAGGCAGCCGCTCCGGCTGTCGAGCCATCGAAGAGACCAAAGAGCCCTAAGCCGGCTGCGGCTTCGAAACCGAAGCTATCGGAGGAACAGGAGACACTTCTCTTGCACACCCAGCAGATCCAAGCCCTGGTCAAGCGCTCCAAGGTGCCTGCCCTTCTATCCTACATCAGCACAAACGACATCTCCCTCAAGGAATTCCGGTTCTTCCCAGCAGACCACCATACCCCAACACCCCTTCACCTGGCCGCATCCCAAAACTCGGCGCCGCTCGTCACCAATCTCCTCACCCGCGCCGGTGCGGACCCCACCGTTCCTAACGGGGACGGTAGAACCGCCTTCGAGCTAGCCGGCGACCGTGCCACGCGCGACGCCTTCCGCGTCGCCCGCTCGGAGCTCGGCGAAGAAGCATGGGACTGGGAAGCAGCCAAGGTTCCCGTCGCGCTATCGCGGGATGAGGCGCTGAAGAGGACGGAAAGGGAAAAGAACGAGGCGAAGGAGAAGGAGGATCAGAGGAGGAAGGCTGAGGAGGAGAGGCTGAAGAAGGAAGGGCCAAAGGTTGATGCGACGAAGAGTGGCAAGAAGGCTGGTGGGAGTGTGTTGGCGGCTGCGATGAAGTTGACGCCGCAGGAACGGAGGGAGGAGGAGGCGAAGGGGTTGACGCCGGAGATGAAGATGAGGTTGGAGAGGGAGAGGAGGGCGAGGGCGGCGGAGGAGAGGATAAGGAGGTTGCAGGGTGGGCAGTGAGTCTAGGGTGTGAAGCTGGGGTCAGAGGGAGGTCGGTAGTAGGATGGAATGTGTCATGGACACTTAGCGATTGCATTTGGGGTATACCACCAATATGGGAGTTACAGGCATGGTCTCAGATCAGAGTAACTACTTTGCTTAGGCTGCAACATAATGTGCCATACAACTTACATTTACGGATCATTCCGCAAGTAAGTTTCGCCCCGGCAGTCTTGGTGAAACATCCCATCAAGTGTCGCCAGCACTAGCGAACATTTTGTCCAAAGAATCATGTTGGTTATGTCGGTTGAGGGTGTTGATGTGTTTCTTTCATCCTTAGAACCTCGAGCATGGCGTCATTCAGATGAGCCCAAGATACCTCTAAGCAAACAAGCATTGGATGGTACTTGGAGGAGCGTTTTAGGATTGTGGATGGAAGTCCACGTGTAAACACGCCAGAGGGACTAACCCAGCAAAATTGGCACATGGATGACAAGATCTGGGTTCTCACGACCAATATCCCAATACTACGATTGGCGGTCAGCTAGGAACACCATCAACCATTCGCAAATATTACGGGTTGAGTCAGGACCAAGGGAGTGAGCGAGCCATGCTACTTTGGGCAGGCTGATGTTGGCCTACATATAAGTTGGGATCCCAACCCAAAAGTGCCTAGATGTAAGTAGCAGGGTTTTGAAATGGATGTCAGTCATAATTGAGTAGATCATGGACATCAGGTCTACATTTTCCCTATAAAAGGCTGCTCACGCAGAACAAAGGATTAAGCTGAAGACTAGAGCGGAGCTTCTCTGGCCAAAAGAATTGTTCAAGCTAACCATTTCTGTTATAGTTTTCTGAATCGCACTTCTCGAGTGGCTGTTGATTAATCTTCAACATTTGGCGATAACTGATGAAGTATCCAGAGCCGGGAATTCGCCTTCGGTCGGATTCAGGAGTCGGGACTTGTCTTTTCCATATCATCCCATTCACTCAACCCCTTTCGTCACGCCGTAGCAAACGGTTGGTGGTGGCTGACCGGCTACACTCTCTCACGACGACTATATAGAACCAGCTCGTCGAGATTTCCAGTTCTCTCAATTCCTTTCTCCTTTTACCAAACTCTAGAGATACACGCCGTTCATACTCGACCAGTCCATCGACTTCTATTCTACACCTTCACCCATCAAACCATCGCCAGTTCATTTCAGTCAGTACGATGTGTCTCGAAAAGCGCAAGCTCTACACCGTCTGCGGTCACCAATCTTCCGGTATCCGACCCTGCCATCGCCAGCGTCAATTGCTGGACGATCCCGAGGGACAGGCATCGCCGTCCACTCCTTTCAGCAGCGGCAGCGGCGCCCTCGCCTCCAAAATCTGTTGCTGTCCACGCCTCACCAGCCTCATAGCCCCCCAAACTCAACCAGCCTCCTGCCGCCCACCACACCCCTACTTCACCGAAACCCGCTTCGGTTTCTGCTGCCGTTGCCAAGCCTACTACCGCAGCTCCGGCTTTGCCACCTCCGAGTCCGACACTCGCGACGACCAGGTCATTCTCAAGTACTAGAAGTACAAGAATTGCCGTGGTTGGAACGAGCCGGTGGATGCGGAGTGCGTACCTGGTAAGGTTATCTTTGACGGGGGGACGGAGTACGTGGAGGATCCGCGGCTGTCAAGAGGGGAGATTATTATGCTGGGAAGACTCGTGCCGTTCTGTGGGGAGGATGTGGGAGGGGGGATTCAGAAGTTGGAGGATATTAGGTGGAAGACGATTATGTGGGCTGAGGAGGGGAGAAAGAGGAGGGAGTGGCGGGGAGAGCTTGAGGAGAGGGAGAAGGAGTGGGAGAAGGAGGAGCGGGGAGAGGAAGAGGATGAGCGGAGGGATTTGCAGTCTGGGACTGGTCATCAGCTTGATGCCGCTACGGAGGCAGATGAGGTTAAGCCAGTTACCAACAGGGCACTGATCTCGTCGTATCACAATGTTCTGGCAAGACTTGCTGCCTCTACTTCCGAGCACCAATCTAGCCTTTCCCGTAGTCACAGCCAGGAGACCGATCTCACCCATGTCAACATTGGAGAGCACGACAACGACGAGCACGGGCGACTCATCGATGACAGTATCTCCGTCGAACAGAACGACACCACCAACACCGCCGACCTGCAGCCCGAGTCTTCCATCTCCAGCGTTGAAGACTTATATAACTACGACTACCACCAGCTCTCCGAAATCCTCGAGGAGCGATCCTCGCAGTATACCAAATCCCGGCCGTCGAAGGAGCTATCATCCAACCCTCTTCCGGCTCAACTTCCAGAATCACTGCCGCTGGTCAGTCTCCAGTTCTGAGGAAGAAGACCGGCCTTTCCCCGGTGGGACAATCAACCACGAATTTCAGCAGGCCTTTGACGAGAAGCAATCTAGCTCGCCTTCATGAGAGTCAGGAATCAGAAGAAGAAGACAAGACGCCGAATACATCAACCGTTCAAGCAACCATCCGACCACCGAACACTCCTACGCCGTTCTCTATGGCTGCGGGTGTTAACATGACGGACAACAACTTGGGAAACTTTACCAACTCGACCCCCTGCTCAGAGTCACAGTCTCTCCATCTCTCCCGGCGTGAACAACCCGCCGACTCACAAACTACGTCTGTTGTTACCGCCACCGTCCAAGCCCAACCTTCTCCCAGTGGTAATACTCCCAGCGGTCCTCCTCCCAGCAATGCTCCTCCCCCTATTACAAACGCTGCCACACACTCAATCCAATCATGGGAAAACTTCACAATCTCCACCCCTTCCCAACAATCCATCCACTCATCCTGGAGAGAACCTACAGAACCCAACACAGAGAGAGGCAAAAACGGGAGTAGAGGTAGCGTCACCCTCAGTCTCAACCAGCCCATACTCACCACCACCAGCCCGAATACCTCCTCTGGTCGAAGCACACCCCGCCTTAGACGTACGCCTCGCCTTCAAGGTCAAGGAACGCCTCGTCTTCAAGCTTTGAATGAGGACATCTATCTCAGACCGGAGCAAGTTGATGATGGTAGTGGTTCTGGACTCGCAGCGTCTGTTTTTGGGGAGTTGTCTGCGGGGATTGTGGAGAAGGAGGACGAGGAAGGGAAGGGGAAGGAGGGGGAAAAAGAGGGGTGAAAGGGTTCCATTAGTTACGGAAGGAGGAGGTGGGGGGAAAGGTCGGGTGTAGTAAGACGTATTCAGGTAGGGAAGGTGCCACCGAGAGGCCGGGGGGGGGGGGGGGGGGGGGGGGAAGGAACGACACTTTGGGACAGAAAAGGGAAGGAGCTGGTTAGAGCTGGCCAGCCACAAACGCGATCTCTTTCGATGTAGATATATTCAAGTCAACGCCCAATCGGTCTTTTGAGACATATGCATGCCTAAGGCGGTTCAAACAAAACTTGCCGGGCGGGATGCGGATGTGGATGTGAAACCTTGAGGCGTCGTGATGAGAGTTATAGACGGTTGAATACCGAGCAAAGACGGACGTAAGAGAGCGGACATGGACGGTTATTGGCTGGCCTTTCTAGTATAAGATGTAAAAGGCCTTTTCTTTATAGAGGTATGTGGAAGGTTTCTTGCCCAACCAACCACAGCTATCGCAACCAATGTGTGTGTCCGATTGGATCACCGCATACTCCTTGCATAGTCGTGGCTTGGTGGGTTCTAGAAGATGGAGGTGTGTTGAAGCTGGTGATTAGCCCGTTAGGTAAGCCGCTTGCTTCTTCAGAGGTTTCTTTTTTGTTTCCAATCCAGCCAGTCACCAGCCGGCCACTGAATAGTGAGGCACGCAACCGTTGGGAGCCTCGCCGGCCTCGGGGGCTTCTCAGTTTGATAGGTAAGATGTTCTTGGCTGACATCCTGATTGGGAGGGAACATTTGGTGAGGAAGCAAGTAATGCTGCTGGCCAGAATTCTCGGAGAAACTGTGACAACCAGAGATGTCAGCAAGCTTGCCGTGACTATGCAGATTTGGTGATCTGAACTCGAGTGATGCGAGTTCATGATGTGTATATCCTTTTGAGCTGACCGGAGAGGACGGATGGCTGTTTTGCAATGTAAATGAGGTGAAGCTGTCTGTGATAGCTGGGTGGAAATGTCTATATGCCCGCTGAGCAACAGGATACAGACGCAACTAGTCAACACATATTCCCTTCGGGAGATAACGCGAAGTGTCTCGGCGGAGCTTTTCATCACTGTTCCTCTTTAACGGCCAGTCTTTTCAAAATGTTGGATAGACACCGTGAGTGCGAAGCCGGAGAGCACTACCCTCGGCCCATCGATGTCCGCGGCCAGATTCGGTGTCTGATTTTTCACGGTCGACATGACCGTCGGCACACGACAGCCGGCACACGGGAATCTGCCCGACTCCGCAAAGAGACGACGGTCCAGATTCTCGTGGGGGAATATGTCAGTGATAAAGATAGAAAACGCTGGTTTGAGTGTGGAGAATATCTGAAACAAAGGGGCTTTCAGACGACTAGTTTGGAGATCTGCCGTTCATGCCCAGATCGCTAAGAAAACTTGCGGAGTTGACTGGAGAGTCTAGGCGGTTTGGGGAAAGTTGATTTATTCTTGTGGGGGCCGTCTCGAGATGGCGGGGAAGAAGGGCTTCCGGTATTAGAAGGGTTGGGATGACGGGCTGGGCAGAGAATCGATTCAGTAAGAAAAATGAGATGAACGTGGAGGTCGTGAAGTGCAATGGACGCAAAACTTCCACCAAGTGTCCCATAACGGCCGAAAACCCGTGAAGTCGGGGAAGCTGCCTGGTCCTGAGTAAGTATAGACTGATGATTCCAAATGTGGTGATGTCGTCCGAGGTAGAGCAGGAAAGCAAGAGCTTGATAGTTACCGACAGAACGGAAAAGCAATCCGCGGGAAGCTAACTGCCACGAACTCCCCATTAGACCGAAAGCTTATCTTTGCAAACATGTACGGATGTGATCATGGACATTTTTGAAACAGCCCAAATGCTCAGCCACCATTTGCCGAAGAGAAGGTTGAGTGTGGGGGTCTGGGAGCCGACCGTTTCGAGGATGGTGTTGAAGTTCTAGCCCCTCTCAGGAAACGTGCAGAATCAAAAATGTCGGTTTCCTGGAATGAACATGGGGTGCACGAGAGTTCCAGGGCCAGGGGGGTTTGCCCGTCTTGGGTTGCTGTGTGAAGATGCGTAGTTCAGGAGAAGCGACCATTGCCAAGAGCCCGAGATGAAGGATGGAATGGTGATGGAGTTGCATGGAGGCCCGCCCGCCGTCAACACGCCTTTTCCTCGTATCTAGAGAAACTAAAAAGCATCCAGAGTGCCGGGAGCCGTGTTTGAAGAATTAAGGACCCGGAAAGCTTGCCGTTGTTTCTGGGTTGAGGCTCAAAAGGATAAAAGGATGCTAACAAGTGTGGGGAGTGTCAGATCTGAAAATCAACAAGTGGAGTGAAGCTCGGGGCATCATGCAAGAGGCAATTGTACCTGTCGATCAGTGCTTGAGACAAGGGTCGCTGATTGCGGATCCTTGGCCCTAAAACTAGAGCGATCAGCAAGTTGCCCACATGGCTGTAAGTGTTAGTGCAGTGTCGCGTATCTGATTGATATCAACCTCATCGCAGGTTTGAACTGTGAATAGCATCATGTCTCGACAACTTGGAATGACCGAGAGAAGGACACGCAAGTTAATCAATCCCGTGCTGAGATATGGAAGCAGTTGGAGTCTTTGTCCTTAGCCGCGTGCTAAAAATGGCAAAAGTGTCGATAGGTCGCACCGCGTGAACTGTATTGATGACAATTGATTAACGACAGCTGCTGAAGTGTGGAGCAGGCTCATCAACAGCCATTGTCGCCGGCGTCGCTTTGGCGCTGCAGGTGAGACAATGAGGCGTTGACAGAAGAATATTCTTCGAGTTGGAGAGACAGAAGAGTGATGGAAAGCGGGCGACTCGCCGTCAAGAGACATGTTTCGGGAAATTGCAGTCCTTCCGTCGTGGTCACACGGCATCGGGGCCAAAGTGACTGTCGCCGTCCGATCCGGAAGCCCACAGCATGGGGAGCTCAGCAGGTCAAGGAGTACAGAACTGCTCATTAGCCTCTTAGCAAATCCGGGAGACTAGAGGCCGATTGTTGTTAATGTCCTAGCTGAGCTGCATGTGGAATGACTGTTCGCTCGGACGTCATCCGTGCGCTGTGCAATGTTACGCTCCAATATTGGCGGTGGGTTCACGTTGAGTTCTTTGTTGAACAACAATTATCAAAACATCCACCTTCTCGCTCAGCTCGTCTTCATTTCCACTTCTCAAGAAAGGCCGGCGTGTAATATGACCTCATCGACGAAGGAAAGAGGCCGTCGAAATCCAGAATCGAAGCGCCCGAGATGACGCTGTTTGAAGCCGCCGAATAACGTGGGCGCTTGACCTTGGCGCTTGACCATTGGCCACAGAGAACACTTCCCCTGGGCGCCATTGCTGCCAGTCAAGGGGGCCGATGGGAAACTCTTGGTAAAAGTTAGTTTCATGTTTCAGCACCACCAAGCCACAATCGGGTTCCATTCGGTCGGTTGTAATCCGACATCTCGCCCCCTCTGCAAGATGTTTTCCGGACAGGATAGAAGTTCGCCAGAGCTGGACCAGGGAGGAGATTGTTGACCGGTCACTCGGACCATCTGAAATGACGAGGTTACTCTCAGCATGGTAGAGTCCGTTGATAGTGACAAGACTATCAGAGCCCAAGAAGGTCAAAGCGGTCACTATAGAAAACGCTGGCAGGGTCGGATGCTGGATTAGGGAACATCAACCGTTGCCGGTGATGAATTCGGCAAAAGAGCTTGGGTCCAAGGCGGGGTTGCTGTCACCACGAGGAAGCGAAGTCAACCGGGGATGGAGAGTGCTGCCGAGATGGGCCGAATCCTGGGGAGACAAGCATGGGGCCTCCTCCACTTTTTCTCTTCTGGACTAAAAGCAGTCCGTGAATTGGAAATCGTCCTGATCGAGAGGCAATCGGGGAGGTCATCATCGATTGGGTGTGGTGGCATTGTGGTCCCCTCCACCCTTCATCTGCCAGTACCTGCAGTAGCGTATGCGGCGTGGCTGAGCAGGTGTTTTCGTTTCAAGATCCAATGCGTCCTCGCTTCAGGTGTACCATCTTGGAGACAGCTTAAGCAGTTGGCTGTCGTGATGGTGTGGTGCTCGTGGTGATGACCTACATGCTGGGACGCTGGGACACAGAAGTTAATTCGAATCTGACCAAGATGTTAAAAACGGCCAAGCGTGAGATTGGGCCATGCCGGTCTCTGGCACAGAGGGGAAACAAGCCAAAAACCGCCTGAGATGAGAATGATATCAGAATTATCCACAACAAGGCGGTCTGGTACTCGACCCGCGAGACACTGCAGGAAATGTCTGTCAAAGTCACAGATTCCAAGTGCCGACCTTGTTCTGGTCGAGGTAGCCATCTTGAAGTTGTCTCTTCCTTCCTCTTCTTGGAGTTTGTAAGGTAATTCTTTCTCGCCAATGGGACATATTAGACAAAAAGACAAAAACATACATGGAAAGAGCAGCGCGCTAACAAGCGATTGGACCTGTGGGACCCCTAGCCTAAGCCAAAATAGGACTAATGACAGATGGAGAACCCCTGTTGGTACCCACCAGAGACAAAATCGGACTGAGGAAGAGGCCATCTGACCAACCAGAACAGTCCCTTTTCTTAACAAGAGACCCCACCGGACAATGCTTTGATAAAGGACGACGGAGCCGCGCGACAGCATGCAAACCCTTGCAAGCCATTGCAAACCCTGGCAAACCCTCAACATGGCAACAACGTCTTCCGAACCACTCGTCGACTCCTCTTTTCTTTTTGCAACTGACCTCACAACCGCTCAACACTGAACCATTCGACTGCCGACGTCCGCCATGGCGCCGCAAGTCGTATTGCCCGCAGGCAAAATGTTGCCCTCTTTGTTTGGTCTTCCACAAACCATACCTTGTGGGCAGTTTGATCTTTTTTTTCTGGCAGCCACCTGTGACTGGTGGTTCTCGTAGCCCATCCCAGAGTATGAGCATGGGATATCAATATGACTTCTTGAAATGGTTACATTCTCCTTGGTGCACAGCCCTCAAGTAACGGAAAAGTCTAGCCCGCCGTTGAACTCATTGGCTCTGCCCCCCCCCCCCCCCCCCCCCCCCCCCCCCCTGTTGGCGATGACCTGCCAATGCTTCCATCAACCCATCCAAGTGTTTCGAGCTGCTATATGAGAGCAAAGCTTCCCTCTCTTCGTCAGACCATCTCTCTTGGTTGTATTCCACAAGACCTTTTCTTCCATCATCTTGTTTCTTTCCTCTCTTGCCTCTCTTGGTATCACTCTCCAGCCCTTCTCAGGAGTCAAAGCCATTCGCTTCTTTGCTCCATCCCCTCTCTTCTTTCTTGTTATTGTTTGTGTTCGCCTTGACAGGTTATCACCACCATTCGTTGATCGAATCACGTACCACACTGCCTATACCAGGTTAACAACAAGAACTCTGACTCCAGCGCAAACCAGTGCACCCATACACATAGGACAACCGTTCCTCTTTTTCCGAATCACATCTCTTTTTCTCAGATTTAGAAAGTCGTCACCATGAAGTATTCTGCTTCTCTCTTGGCTTTCGCTGCCAGCGCGGCCGCCACTGTAAGTCTATATATCCAACTATGTCTTCAACAGCCCACAACTAACACATACTTCCTCATAGTTCCCCTTCCACAACGCCCCGGCATTCACTTGCCCTCAGAACACCGACAACAAGTGTACCGACCAGCAAAAGACTGGCTTCGCTTTCGATGATCTCTCTGCTGGCCCCTTCTCTCAGTACATGGACTTCAACTTCAACGGCTGGACCTCGGGTGCTGGCTTTGGTGGTCGCTTTGGAAAGCGCACCTTTAAGGGTATCAGCGGTGTCTGCGGCTCTGACAAGAGCAAGGCCCCTTCCTTCGGTGCCGGCGACAAGTTCTCGCTGGGCTCTATCCACGTTACGCCCGAGTTCGACTGCGATCTCGAGTTCCACTATCATATGCCCGATGGATCTACTTGCAAGCACCGCAATCAGTGCACAAAGGGCGGTACCAACGTCGTGAACAAGCAGTGCGGTGGTGCTACCAACGTCACCATCATCTACCCTCCTCAGCCCGAGAAGCCCAAGCCCAGCTGCAGTGTCATCATCAGCACCATCTCCTTCGACTGCAGCACCAAGCAGAGCACCGTCCCTCCCAAGACCAAGACTACCAATGGCGCCTCTACCACCTCTGCCGCCGCCACCTCCAGCGTCCCCAGCGTCCCCGCTGAGACTACCAGCACTTCTGCTGCTCCCGTCGCTTCTTCCAGCGCTCCTGCTGAGAGCGTTCCTGGAAGCCAGACCAGCACCGCTCCCGCCGAGATTACCAGCGCCCCGGTTGAGAGCGCCCCCGTCTCGAGTGCCCCCGCCGAGAGTGCTCCCGTTGAGAGCACTCCCGCGGAGAATGTTCCTATCCTGACCACCAGCGCTCCCATCAGCGAGGTTGTGTCTGCTCCTCCCGTCACCAGCACCATCGTCACCAGCTTCGACAGCACCTCGACCATCTTCGTCACTGAGATCCAGACCATCACCAGCTGCGCTCCTACTGTGACCAACTGCCCTGCCACCACCACTGTGGTCACCATTGCCACCTCCACCACCGTCTGCCCTGTCACCGAGACTCACACTACTGTGATCTCGGCCACCTCTTCTGCTGCCCCCGTCGCCAGCTCTGAGGGTCCCAGTGAGATTGTTATTTCCACCTCCATCGGTGATATCATCTCTGCTCCCGCCGGCTCCACCTCTTCCGCCGCTGCTGTTGAGTCGTCTGCTGTCGCCTCTTCTGCTGTCGCCTCTTCTGCTGTCGCCTCTTCCGCTGCCGTCTCTTCCGCCGTTGAGAGCAGCACCGGTGTCGTTGTTCCCACCTCCGCCGGCAGCGTCGCTAGCTCTTCTGCTGCCGCCGTCGACACCACTTCCAGTGCTGCTCCTGTCTCT